CCATTGCATAGTTTTCGGAAATAAAGTTTCGAGACCCAATTAGTCATGTGCACTGATGCAGGCTATCAATCAGAAATGTGAGTTATTAATTTTGCAGAAAGGTCACTTTCTAAAAGAGACTTTAAAATCAGGTGAGTAACAGAGCCCAGAGTTAAGTGCTGAGCAAGAAACTAGAAGAGACTGGTCAAATATTGCTGTGTGTTACGAAATGGGAGCGAACTGAAGACAACAGAACAGATTTCTTCCCATTGACAAGCGATATCCATAACTTACACCATGTCAGAGTATTACTCCTATCTGACCGTTTTTTATGTGTCAGGCTCGTTACATGATGGAGGGCATTGAGGTTAACCACTTTTGGCTAGTCAGCATATAGAAAGGATCTGTAGTGCTTTATAAAATTAAAAATATCATTGAAATATATCAGAAAGAAGGGACCAGCCGCACTCATGCTTGAGGCTAGTGCGTTATTAGAAAATATTAATCTGTAGCGGAGAAACAAAACACGATTTAGGCATTCAACAAACAAATGAACTTCTGTGTGGTTGTTAACAAAAGATATACGGGGCAGTTGAAAATTTATTGATCTACCAAAAATAAACGAATATAGCTGAGCTAATTATACAGCAGTTTGATTATCGAGTTCATAGATAATTGCTACAGATGCACTAAAATGTTTGCAAATAGGTGCCAATATAATGTGATAAATGCTTCCGACTTTATAGTTGTGGACTTATATCGACCAGCAAAAGGTAAAACTAGGGCAGTGATTGTCGCCTCCAACAAAAGTGAGACATGTTCGTATGGGTAAAGTCACTAGCATCCATTTAATTTTCACCAAAATTGGCAGTGTGGAAGAAAAATCAGGTGCATCATTCCAGGAAGCGTATTAGGCCCCCTTTCCTCTTTAATATATGTCAATAGCCATTACTGACGACAGACAGACTTATGACGGTACAACAATCAATATGACCTCACTCTGTCGCTAAAGGTGACAGACAGACATGTGACAATACACCAATTAGCATTATCTGACCTGTTTTTCGAGATTATTGTTTGATATAATGTAAACGCCCACCGCTTATGGATGAATGTTGTATTCTGTCTTTTGTATGTATGTAAAGGAATTCGCTAGTCATTTTGTCCCTTACTTCATTGCTGAGGATATCAAAGCAAGGATCGGAAAAGCAAGACAAGCTTTCACTACTCTCAAGTCTGTGTGGAGGTCAACAACACTCAGCATCAAAAATAAGATACGGATTTTCAACTCCAATGTGAAGTCAGTGCTACTATACGGATCAGAGACTTGGCGCGTCATAAAGGGCATCTCAAACAAACTACAGACCTTCATTAACAGTTGTCTTCGCTCAATACTCAAGATCAGATGGCCAGAAAAGATCAGCAACAGAGATCTCTGGGAGCGAACCAACCAGGAACCGATTGTGAAACAAATAGGCAGGAAGAAATGGAGATGGATTGGCCAAACTATGAGGAAACCATCAAGTGACATCACTAGACAAGCCATTGCTCGAGTGGAACCCGAAAGGGAAACGGCGAGTTGGTCGTCAGTGCAAGGGTGACTTGGAGGAGGTCATGTGAAGAGGAGATGAAAACGTGTGGGCAGACATGGAGCCAGGTGAAGACTCTAGCAGAGAACAGAACGCAATGGAGACGCACGGCTGAAGCCCTATGTTCCTGTAGGAATTAAAGGATACAATAATAATCACTGCTGTTTGGTACGTTTTTATTATTCCTTAAATGGCAGTTGCTCTTGTGTTTTTATATTTGTGTGATTGTGTAGTTTACTTAAATTTTAGAAATAGATAAAGTTTACGCCGTCACCCAAGTTTTAACTATAGCAAGACCCAGACTTTGTAACGTCAGTATTGATAGTGAGGAAACATTCTGTGGGCGAAATTAATTCTGCAAACACATCTGAGGAAAATGCACTTCTGTATCAGACGACCAAAGATTCGTCACTGAGGCAATAAAGGGCTATCATTTGTTTCGGATTTTGTTTTATTCATTCTTGTTGGCACTGAATTATCTTTCTTGGATTTCTCCTTAAGACCCTGGTTTTCATTGAAGTTGTGGGTTATAAGTTTTCTTTATATTTTGTTTGGTTGTAACAGGTAAGTTTCCCTTAACACCTGTCTTTCTATTGCCTAGCCTATCTTACCCAAGTAGAACAATTTTTGTCGGGCCAGACTAGATTAACTAATCAACAAGTGTGGTTGAATGCTTTAGGAAGCTTCTCATATGAATTTCATAGGCTTTGGGTGATGGTGTGGTTATTTAGTATTATAAATATCATACTGGCCGAAGTCAAATCTGCTAAATTAAAATAATTGTTATTTGAGTGGTCAGTGTGGGAGTGCGATAAGAAAATTATATGTGACTTTAGAACGAGGCTTTTTAACACCTTGTGAAATCGTTTTCTAAAGTGGACCACCTATTCCGAATTGGATTTTATTCTGTCTGCTGATCCATGTAACGTAGCGCACGTATGTATGATTAACATTTAGACAGTCGTCCTTCTTTTGACTTATGATAAATCAGTGCCTCTGCCTTGGTTTTATATTTTCAGACATATTTAAAAAGTTTTCAAATGAATAGGTGCTTCAGAAGTTCACGATAAGCGTCCACCATATGACTCTAATGAGATATCTGATGTGTGTACCATATTTGTCCCGTTGAAATATATGATGAAAAGGTAGCTTGTGATTTTGACGAATTTTAAGTGTAAATTGGTCTATGATACGAATCGTCGTAACCATGGCAAGGGGCACTGAACAGTATAAGCAATAATGTAAGAAGGCATTGGAAAGTATTTCGAAGGCACATAGCGGAAATCGAAGTAAACTACACTTTTTGAAGCATCAGAAATTTTGGAATGGATGATTATCCTTGAAAACTACTGAATTGTTATCTTTTGACCAGTAGTTGATGACAAAATCACCGTAACCCAGTTTACTAGTGAAGGAAGCCCAATCACGAAACGGTTGGGACAAAGGAAACTCCTTGTGGGTCGCTCTGGGCGACACCTCAAATCGACCACCATTTCCAACTCACCCAGAAATACAACAGTCACAGAACGACCAATGAAAACCAACTGTCAGAGGAAATTGGAATTCTTGGCGGACAGTTATTTGCCAAAAGCTTGCTCTTGTGGAGCCAGTCAATCGCTCTGCTTGAAAGACGTCGGACCAGTTTCCGGTTGGCTTCAACTAAAATTAATGTTGATGATTGTTGTGTGGTCATCTATCTGGCTGGACCTGAGCTTTGGCCATATTACGAGTTGACCCTCTAGCCTGATTCACCTTACCTGATGGCCAAGTTACTCTTAACACTATCTTAACTAGTGAAGCGAGAACATGATACATACTGCTGTTCAAGTATGCATTTATTAACGAAAGTGAGGATAGCCAGTCTTAATACACTGTAGCCATTGCCCATTTCCCCCATACAAATCTAACTGTCAGCGATGTGATTCAGTCAGCCCAGATAAATAAACCAATCGCTGAAGGCGAAATAGCTGAGGTTTCGTTAAATTCACAAATCTGTTTGATCTTTCACATGTTAAAACGTTTGCAAACAGACGTCATTATTGTGTATATTGATACTTCTGATCGAATCACTCTGATCTTCTGTCAACTAGCAAGCTTTAGAATGAAGACAAAACTAATTCGACTAGGCACTATTGCATTACGCCCCATCCATTTTCACTGACACTGAGAATGAGTGTTTTGTATTCACTGACAATCATATAGTGTGATGTTTAACCTTGTTTTTCTGAGCATCTTTTCTGTTTCACTCTGGGATGGATTCAGTCCAGTAGGTGCTAGTGAAAATTCAAATTATGCGGGAGAAAGTGTCCAGTGTGCAGGCTCCAGTCAAATGTGAAATTTCACTGAGATTACTAACAACCATGGGGCAAAAAAAATGTTTTTGTTACATCTGATCAGGTACCTGTAATGATGAATGACAAGTGCTTCACAAGTAATTAACTATGCAGCACGAAGTATGGTAGTGTTTCACTCTGTGCTTCGTAACACAACAAAGGAACACTCTGATGGGAGGACAGCAAAGTCTCAAAACAACCGTTTAGGGATGATATCGTCCAGAATAAAAAACGAATCAGTCTGGTGAAGCTAAAAAGGCAGTTTAAGTCCTGTTATTGAAGTTAGCATCAAAATGGTTGTGTTTTCAAGGTATCAACTGGGGTGAGGACGATGAACTGCGAGGAAGGGGACAAATATACTCGTAAATGTTATGCGAGTTGGTTTACTGAACATATTCATCTTTCATTCATAAGTATTTCTCAGAAAGTGAATCTATTACCGCTATTATAACATCCTTCTGTAGAGGGTTCACAATCTTACATTTCGTAATTTGGAAAAAAGCAGTTTATGCAGTTCTATGTACAGTTATGGTAACTTTTAAGTGTTTTTGAAATTCTTCAGTTGTTGATGTTATGGTCTCAAGGCCTGTTCCAGTTTATACTCTTTTTAAACCTTCTAAAAGCCATGAACTTGATATCTGATGGAGCCAGATTCTTAAAATCCCTTAATATGAGGGCGATTGTGGAGCTACCAGAAGGTTATAAAGTTCCCAGTGAAAGCCGATCGAATAAGTAACAACTGATAACCACTGGGGCAATGCAATGAAGATATAGAAATCATTTGCTGGACCCCCTTCCACGTCCTTTGGTACTGCTTTGTCCTCAGCGTTTGTGAACTGAATTACAGGATTGTTCAGTGAAACAATATTCCCAAGTCCTAGAGGTACCACTCTCTTGGTACAGACCATAAATTACTTCTAGGACTAATGTACCTTCGCTTATTGTTTTCAGCAAAGCTGCAGCAGTTGACTGGGACGACTGAGCTGTAATCTACCAAAAAATCGAAACAACAGGTGAGAAGCGCCAAAATATGACGACAAGCACACAAGTTTGTTAATAAGATATTGCACATAGTCTGTTTGTTTTAATCTCTACTTGTGTTGACTTTAGCGCTCAACTGAAGTTTCTCCAAATCTTTGGTTTTTCGTTATTGGTACAGTTCATCATCATTTGGCTTCGCATAGAAGTTTTGATGGATAGTTTTGAATTCTTCTCCCACAGGATTATCTCCCGTTTCCAATGATAATACAGGGCTACTGTAACGGGGAAATAATGCTAGGGTAAGCAGAAATCTTATTTGTGTATGGTGAGTCAATGTCGATTTACTGCTGAGATCGAACAATTTTCCTCAGCAGCATTCTCTACACCCTGCCATTCTCAGCGTTAACCACATTTTCCGCATTGTCAGTGTTTGCTGTGAAGTTACCGTGTCTAGTTCTAGGTTTAAATATTTTTTCCCGCACACTAGCACTTCTGCTTGTCCTTTCCTCAGTGACTGCTATTAGCAGATATTTTTCTAACAACGTGTTAATCACCAGTTCCCGTATTTTTGGCATCATTGGAACTTTTCCCGTCCCACAATGTCTCGCTTAGTGTCAAAGGGATGTCATACACAGTTGTCTAACTTTTGCGTTCTGGTCCAACCGAGAAACATTTGAAATGCACGCCTACTCACTTTTAATGGAAACGTATACCAGCACTGTTTTAGTCTAACGAGGCGCTTGTTAGCCTCAGTCATGAATTCAGAAATCAGATGAGTGTTGAAATTGAGAAGTATACACTTCCTGCAGGCTATGTGAAGAAAATAAAGCACAGCAGATATTTGGAAATCATACCCTCTGAAGTCAACACAAGACTCGTGCTGTTTGGGATGCATATGTCTGGTCAGCGAAAAGCTTTGGTAGTTAGGCGGTTCCTCTCAGTATCACCTGGCTCGATGTCTTCAGACATTGGACATGATTTAGCGGTGGCGTTCGTCATTTCCCATGCCTCGCTAATCGAAAATCAGACTTGTAAATTTTTCCCAAACAATAGCTTTATTGACAGTCATGTATAAATTGTCGAATGGTTTTGTAGAAGCAAAAGGTCACAACTTATTCATGCCCTCCCTAATAGGTGGACTTCTTAGTTGATATTCATTGGTGAAGAGCCAAGTTCGTAATCATCTTTGATCATGATAGTAAACAAGCATCGTCAATCGTGTTATCAGTCAGCCTTTAGAGTTGCTGTTGGAGGAAAAATTCAAACTATATTTGCACCTTGGAATCGGAGTTATACAGTCTTCCACAACTGTCAGCATTGGGTATAGTGGCTGCCTAGCAACTTCTGTCGCCATTTAGTCTCAAGTGGTTGTTTGCCTTCTTGCTGTCCCTGAAAACCACTATAATCACTGAGGGATAATCACATTTTGTTTTTTCTACGGGTAATAGCAGTCTTTCATCGTTGGTTGAAACCTTGTCAATATCTCGATCGAGGCCTCTCAAGTGTCACACTAGCTTCTGAGCTTTCCAAGCTTCTGAGGTTACCACACACGAAGTTGGCAGAAATAAGGCATAGGCCACCTCGATCCTCCGAAAGGTTTCCAGTGCTGTTGTATGAACAGAAATCGCATGTGTTGTTGCGAGAATAGTGTCGTTCTCAAATTGAGTTATGAAAAACGTTTATAAGTGTAATGTAGTAGAAATGCAGTTGTTACTTGAATACAAAGTAAGGTATCTTAAATTAGCAGCATAAATCTAAACTTGTTAGGCTCAAAATTAAAAATATTCGACTTCAGATATGACTGGCAGCGTTAATCAAATGGCAGATGCAGATTAAAAAACAATGAAACGTCAGGTTGAATTCGCCGGTTCGTGCAAATGAAGTGGTAGACTTTCAGTTGTACAACAGAAAAATTGGGATAACTTTTACTGATCGAAACGTTTTCACTATGGAAAAAGTCCACAAAACACACATGTTCCTGAGTGAAAGGGGTCAGCGTACTTCGAACTTTCATATTCACTGCTATATGCTTTATTTCTGCGTATGACTGGACCCAAAGAGAATACTTAACATTCGTTTATATACAGAGAGATCTAGGCCAACGATTGACACCTTTTAAAAGCCAGACAGCTATGCACCCAATTAGAGACCGCCTCTGTTAGCTGTCAGCACCCTGTTGTCCATCCGTAGTTCCTAAAATGTATTGCCTGGTTGGGAGGCAAACATTTTTGACGATAACAGACTACCTTAGATGTGTAGGTCTTAAGTTGAATGGCTTGATCATATCAATTTCCCAAAAGAAGTTCTCCATCTTAGCACGATATGTGACATCATTTTTCAATGCGATTTCCTTTTGGAAACGTTATACTGTTGTACATACGACTTCCGGTGACTCGGAAGTTTGTTACAACCTGTTTTCCTACTGTGGCCCAAATAACATCGTACATAAATGCTGATACGGTAATGTTCCTGCCTCTCGGTGACAAGTAAACTGTTAAGCATGTCTATTTCTGTAATAAGGTTGCCTGGCACATCATGAGTCATTCATCTTCCATGGTCAGTCGTAGCGAAACTACTGGAAGTGCGGAAATGATGTGGGTAATACTGAGAAGTAGCAAAGTTGGGAAAATGCTGAAAATTTTAGCATCTGAGTAGTAGTTTCGCATTGACTCACCATACAAAAACCTTTTCAGCTTTCTCGAGCATTATTTCCTCGTTACCTGAGGCTCGGTGCCTTAATGATGGATTTTACGAAATCAAAATCCAGTTGAAATTTAAATCTAATTTTGATGTATGATTTTTTTTAGCATAGTTCGCTTTATTGACCTGCCGAAAACGAGATTGCGCTAAGAAAATGCTTAGTCCTTAACCGATTGAATGACTTCAGCGTAGAACCTCCAACAAAATTGATCAGGTCAGTTAGAAATACTTGAAACACAGAAAGGGGTCAAATATGAACGGAATGACGCTGTTGTGGATCAGTGTTATTGTTAAGTTTGATTGAATGATAACTTCTAGACTGTCTTTAAGCATTGATTTTAAGCTTCGGGAAAATCTGATTCAGCGACATCCACATATTTCGTCAAGTCAGCTGTCACTAACTGTTAGTATTATAGCTAAGATTGTTGGAATAAATGTCGACGCCATGTATCCAAAGTAAACACCGTGGTTGTCGTCAATTTAGGTGACGGCTTTTCAATGATTGAGGTGGTAGTTTCATGTTTCAGACCTGAACGAAGGTCGCGTTACATCCTCATTTCGGAAACAACACAGTGAAGTCGAAAACTCTTCAGTTGTCATTTTAAAGTCTATCCAATCGTCTTGAGTAGTGGTGATAGGCAACTACAAATAACTATTCAGTTTGGTCGAAGGAACAAGCTTTAGGAAAATAGAGGTTAGCGGGACTAACTTAGGTACTTAAGAATACGACATTTATTTTCATAGAAAAATGCACCAATTCGAGATTTGTACCTCATATTTTACCGTAATTTCAAAACGTGGCATTTCTGGAGTGTTTCAGGTTACTTGACTATAGTGATGTGCTAGCTCATGCATGATCTGTCATCTTACGTGGTTCTCTGGAGTTGGTTTTCTTGCATAGTGTTCATACCTGGTAGTAATGAACTAATGCTATCTAGACATTATGAAGTACACTAGATTGGTAGGATCGCTTCACAAAGGGTCATTTGTGATGAAGTATGGGGTCTACATGTGATTCGGGATTTTTGTTTTGCATTTCATAGTTACGAAAATCATACCATTCACATTTCAGATTTGCTCATGAGTGACCCAGAAGGGATCAAATCATTCCTATACAACTTTCTGCAAAATAGAAGGCGTGTTGCACCGGAGTACACTTTTATCGAAAAACCTGCTGGTCGTGGAAAGGTTAGGTTTTTGTGTGAAGTAAGTTTGTCACATTGTCGAACTAGTTTAGGTCCGTGCTGATGGTTATAATTACGTCGGAATTGGAAATTCAACGACAAAAAAGGATGCCCAGACTAATGCAGCCAGAGATTATGTAAACTACCTTGTACGTGAAGGCGAGATTCCTGCATCCTCTGTTCCCGTAATTAAGGTATATTGTATTCTTGCCTAACTCCGTAGCCTGGTAATATCGTGCCCGTTGAATCAGAAAATTCATTCCAACCTCTAAATCCTGAACAGAAGGTGACAACTGGGCCACAAACAAGTTCATTCGGTCCTGGGAGCAGCTATATTAGTAGCATTTATGATCAAAAGAAACTAGAAGAGGTAGGTGATCTTTGAATTCCACTCTTACTATTTGCTAATTTAGGCAGAGGAGGTAGATTTAACGTCTGATTTGCATGGTGGATGGTCGCTTGAAAATGCTAAGGGTCGTTTAAATGAATACTTGCAGTCAACTCGGCAGCAGATCGGACAGGTGAAATATACTCCAGTGGGTCCAGACCATGGCAGGTAAGATTAAGGTTGTGTATATTAGTGATTTGTGCAGAAGTACTCTTAACTAATATTAGTTTTTTGTTGTGATATTTATGGAAGCAGTTGTTTATATGTTGTGGCAAGGCGGACAGGAATGCTGGGTGTCAAATGAAGCATTCAGTGCCCTGATCGCTTTTTCACTCAATTTCGCTAATGTTGTAACGAATTGAGTGGTCTTAGCGATCAGTTGGCTCTGAGTGCTAATAAAGTGATACATTCCTGTTTGTTTACAGCTCTTGTTCGCGTCCTTCTCGGTCTTCGTTCAACTTCAATTTCAGTGATGGTATGTTAATTTTATTCGGGATATTATTTGGGGAATATTTACTCTCAGTAATGTAGCGTTTTGTATTGGAACGTTTCAGTCAATGAGTTACGCTAAATTAATCGTTTAAAATGCTTATAGGAGTTATATAGCCGAGATGACCGTCGTCGCAAAGAAGCTTCGGAAAAACCTATATGCTCGAGAAGCGGGATCAAATAAACAGCTGGCATCTCGTGCTTGTTGCTTATCATTGGTTCGTCAGCTTTTTCATGCAGGAGAAATTGAAGCATACACCGGTGAAAAAAGAAAAAAGAAACACTGTGAGGTAAGTTTGAGAGTGAAAGTTTTAGTAAACTATTTGTCTGGTGCTTACGTAGTTCAAAAAGGTGCCCTTAAAGACTGTTACTTGTGCCCAATATACTTCACAACGCATTTCGCCGTTTTCACAAAATTTGCATTGTTTCCGGACTCGGTAATTCAGCACATTACTGCACTGATACTTACTTGACATGCTAGCAACGATGTTCTGCAGTTCCCATATGCTCAGAGGTTTGTATAAAAAATAACTCAGAAAACCAAATGAAATTCTATGGTACTAAAGCTTTTTGACATGAATATATACATATACATATATACTGAAATGGAATCTAAAGATTTGATTGCATTTGGACACAATGTAAAAGCTTAGGCTTAATTAATCCTTAATCATCAAAAATCTCATGTGTTCAAAGCTCGACCTTAATTTTTGGCAGTGCTTTCAGTGTTGTGTAGCAAAATTTGAATATTTAACAATAGTTCTTGTACATTATTAGCTTCCAATTTCAGTACTGGTTAATGCAATAATGTAAATGTTTCATAACTTGGGTCATGAGTTTCACGAAAACTAGTTTGTTCTAAGACAGAATTAATCTTGCCTTTCGTTCCAACTAATAGTTGTCTAGGTAACGTTTTCATTATCCTAAACAGGGTAAGTTTATGTTCAAGAAATGCTAATTCTAATTGTGTTAGCTTACTTGCTGAACTTCTAAAGGCGGTTGTAATGGATGATTGGATATTAAAGGATGTAAGTGGAAGTCGGCCGCAGAAATCCATGGAAACCTTTTCTTTGTACGACTCATGCCATTTTTTAACATCCTTACATAACTGTTCCAAGCTCTTTGTAGCCGTAGATTTTGATGTTTCAGACAGTAGTTCTGCTTATCCACCCTCAATTAAACATAGAGGTAAACAACTTCAGTTAGTTTCGATTTATGTCAAATCTTGTGTGATTTCGATTGTCAGCGACATGAGTTACCATCTCTCTTCTCTAAACCCGTCGCTTGACTTATATTTAAAATTTGGATTTACTTTTTGTGCGTTCATGTAAGTATGTATCACGGTTCTATTATAATTACTTTTCGATTTTGATGATTTACCTTAAGGTTGCAGTGTTCGATGTCTGTCTGAATGAAAAAGTTGAAGAGAATTTGACCAAAGTGCTAGACAGTCTGGGTCTGCCAGTTAATTCGAAGCCTCCTGCAAATCTTCCACCAGACCAGGTCTACAATATGATCACCCAATATAATTTGGTGGGTTTCGATGACGCTCCGAAACAGCAACCTCAGTCAGTCGCATGGTGTCCACCACAACCTAACTGGAATCCATGGACTGCCTGCAATATTGATGAGGGTCCAGAGGTAGGTTTTTGTAAAAAGGTTGATGACATTGTCAAACATAGTTGTGTACGACGCTTGTGTTTAGGTGCCATAAATAATGACAGTAGTGATCGTATTGAATGGATGGGATAACTAGTAGAAAAAGGTCATATTTACTTACCAAATAATCCATCATGAAATAAGTGTGGTTTTTTGCATGTTTACTAAATTATTTATTAGTGGGTACGACTTGTATTAAGTAGGGTAACTTCAAGTATACCATAGGGGTTTCAATAGTAAATAATAGGTTAATTGTGGAAAGAGAGAAGTGGAATTTATGGCATAATACCATTTTTTCGTTGTTAATTCTGTGAACTGGTAATTCGTTTACATTAGAGGAATAGCGTAGTCTACAAGAATAGAATCTTCAGGTTTGCTGGTAATCACCATGATGTAGTTTAGGGTGACTGACTGGTTTCAACACAGAACTTTGCACAGATGTGCAGCAGTTCGAGTCGCCACACTTCACTCAGCACACAAAGCAACAGAAGAAAGTATAAGAGAAATGCAAAACACAGACAGCAAACAGAGATATGAGGCAAAAAAAATAGTAATTTCGAAGAACAATATAGTTTTATTGGGTATTATAAGCCACAAGAAGTGGATGCATCTTCGCCGGCCACTGAGAACGATTTTGAGCCATATCACTAATTGTCTCCAGCCTGGATTGGTTTTTACCGTCACGAGGAACCCAACCAGACAGCAGTCTAAACCTCCCTACGTGGCTGGCTGGCTTAAACTAACTGTTGTGGATTTCATTGATTGGTGGGTGAAGCCATGTTTTGGTTTGACCACCACTGACTCTTCCAACCTGACCCATCCTATGTCAGCTGACATTGACCATTGTCGATGTGCTGTGAAATGACATTCCTTCCATCATCGTGAAGGCAAGATTGTATTGTTTATGTAAACTAACCGAATATTTGGTAAAATAATCTATCTAGTGACCGTGTTTTCCTGGGAGTTTGTCAGTTGCTGGTTGCTATTTGTACATACTTTCCTCGTGGGAATTTTAGCTGCTCTATATGAGACTTGACAGCAACAGCATTTTCCTGTAAGATTTGACACTTTTAATATCCAATCTAGTAATTCTTTCAGTTGATACTCACTTCAGCGAACAGATTTAAGCAGTTGATGTGACCAGTGTGCCACTTTCACTAGTTCTCACTTATGTATCCTCCGTGGTCATTCTTATCATCTAACTGTGATGGTGTATTTGCTAAATTCGTGCGAAAAACAGCAGTATAGTGCGACATTTTGCTGTTTCGAACAACATTGTCTTATACCATCAAGAAGGTTATTGAATCTCGTGTCTAAGTTGAAAAAAGTGGCGTGCAGAATTTCGCCACAGTGCAAAAGCAAAACATAAGCAATGTATATAAGACAGATTGAATGTAGTTGTTTTCATTAAAATGTTTTGTTGACTAAACTGCGCATTGTTTTCTTGGCTTCTCGTGAACAAGGATATGTAGTCCGATGGTTCTGCAGATCCCATTTTTTCAGAATATCTTACTGTCATTGTCATATTTGCTATTTCACAAATCACATTCTATTTCTGCTTTAAAGGCTAATCAACCATTATTCAACATCAGCGCTAACTTAGCAGAGGAACGATTGCGTCGGCTTGATACTGACCATGAGTTACGATCCTTAATAGACGAACGTTCTCAGTTACCTGTGAGTCCGTACAAATCTTCGATTTTGGAAGCCATAAAATACAACAGAGTCACATTAATTCGAGGTGAAACTGGGTGTGGAAAAACTACACAGGTTAGTTTTTTTCCACATATTAAATTAATCGGTATTATCACCAAACGTAGTATACAGAAAAATATTTTGACCAGTACATTTATTCAAATTTCAGATTCCCCAGTTTATTTTGGACTCTTATTTGGAATCGGGAATGGGTGCAGAATGTGCCATTCTAGTAACACAACCTCGACGTATATCAGCAATTAGCCTAGCCGAACGCATCGCATACGAAAGAGGAGAAACAGTGGGGACTTCTGTTGGGTACTGTGTGCGTTTTGAAACTGTATATCCTCGACCATATGGTTCTATTCTGTTTTGCACAGTTGGAACAATGGCACGCAAAATGGAAGGGGGTCTTCGAGGAGTGTCTCATATAATCGTTGATGAGATACATGAAAGAGATGTTAATACTGACTTCATGCTCATACTACTTCGTGATATGATTCGGGCAAACAAAGACCTTCGAGTTGTCCTCATGTCTGCAACCATTGACATCACTATGTTCAACGACTACTTTGGTGAATGCATGATATTAGACATAGAGGGTCGGACTCATCCCGTTGAATGTAAGTTTGATCATCTTACTTTGAATTTGCTATTTCTAGTAAGGAAATTTGTACTCAAAGTTCCTTTGATGGTCAAAAATTTGTTGTCTTTATCCATGTGCTTACTGATCTGTTTAAATTGTTGCAAAATGCACTTCGGGAAAAGAAACTTGACATAATTGAAGTAATTAAAGTAGAACATCCACAATAGTGACTTCAATTTGGTGCTGCTGACTTAGGAGACTGTTTCTGGTATGGTGGTTGAATCACTAACAATCTGAATCGTATTTTTCTGTATGTTGCAAAACTGGTCATCATTTGATTTTATCTGTTTAATTATCACATAATTCAATTGGGAAAATTGTCGAACCGCAATGGTCTTCACATGAAAAGGCAAAATTACGATTGTTACGTCTGTGACAACTAATTATCAACTTAAGGCTATAACTCTGGGAATTCGAAGGAAGTTTTGTTTCTATCAATATTCAAACTTTTATGGAATTCTTATTTCACATAACGAGCGCGAATCAAATCGATTCCCAATAATGTGGTAGATTATGTGAGTAATGTTCTTCCTAGGCATATTATCCAAATACTTTTTCTTTGGGTCTATGGTTTACATTCAGAAAACTAATTACATATGATCATTTATGGACTTTTAAAAATCTTATTCAATGTCTATGTGAAATCTATGCATATTTATGTGTAAATGAAATTCTGTATTCCAAAGCATGGCCATGTGACAAAATAAGAAGACATTTCAGATAACTAGGAGATTAATTCATAAAATTCTACTGAGAAATATCTAAACTTAACCAAAATTCTATGCTACTGTTATTTTTTGTTTAAGTATTTGTTTATACACTCCAAACCACTCACTTGTTTTAGATGGTGTACTTATATGTATATGATTTGGTAGTGTCACGATTACTCTTTTACTGCCTTACATTCCCACTTAAAAATCTTATGCTGATACATGTCGCCTCACTAACTTAGCTGGCAGTTGATTTTAATTTTGTTTCTATGGTTACCATTTTAACAGGAGTTTTAGTCTTTTTGTTGTGCCGATAAAATAATGTTCACTGTTATTGAGATTTCGTCTTCTTGTTATCAGATTATTTCCTGGAAGACTGTGTGAAGATGGTCAACTTTGTACCTCCACCTCCTGATGAAAAGAAAAAAAAACGGCGTCAAGAAGTGGAGACCACCGCGGATAACTCTGAGGAGAATTGCAACTTAGACTGTGACCCAGTCTATGGTGACGCAGTGATTCAAGCTATGAAAGATATAGCAGAAAAGGAGGTACCTTTCGAGCTTGTTGGTGCTCTTCTCGATAAAATAGTAAGCATGAGCATTCCTGGTGCAGTGCTGATTTTTCTTCCTGGTTGGAATATCATAAGTCTTCTACGCAAATATTTACAGTCACATACCCGGTTTGGCGGTCCGGATTTCTTTATTTTACCACTTCATTCACAAATTCCTCGCGAAGATCAGCGCTTGGTTTTCCGTCCAACTCCTCCTGGAGTAAGAAAAATTGTTTTGGCAACTAATATCGCCGAGTCCTCCATTACAATCAATGATGTCGTCTTCGTGATTGACTTTTGCTTATCACGTACGAAACTTTTCACTGCACGAAACAACCTAACAGCATACAATACATCATGGGCAAGCAAGACAAACCTTGAGCAACGTCGAGGTAGAGCTGGTCGTGTTCGTCCAGGATTTGCTTTTCATCTCTGCAGGTGAGATAGCTAGAAACTGATGACGTTTTTGTGTTATAAGTTTGATTCACTAGTCCATTTTTTAAAACGAATTTTGACGTTGGCATGCGCTTTAAAGTATTCAACTTAGTTTGTTGCATTAGGAAATATATCATATTTTCCGTTCTTCTTTTACCGTAAAACATATATTGCTTGGAAGTCTAATTCCATGACTTTATTTTTGTAGCCGCTCACGCTATGAACGGTTGGATCAACATGCTACTCCAGAAATCCTTCGTACTCCGTTACATGAGTTGGCACTACTTATTAAGCTTTTGCGTCTTGGTCCTGTCAGAGACTTCCTGATGAAAGCCTTGCAGCCTCCACCACTAGATGCAGTAATTGAAGCTGAGCATACTCTAAAAGGTTGGTTCAGCACTTATAACTCTTCAAGTTTTATTTTTGTTTTTAAAATTGTTTTCCTTCGTCTATTGTTCAGTTGCAAGGTTTGTAACCGATTAGTCAAAGTGGCATTTCCCCCATCCAACATCGCTTACGGGAAATCAAAACAAAGATATAGTATTTTTGAACTATCAATTTGGATTCATAACAAATTACTAGGATTTGACGAATCGTATTATGGTGTGAAGATTTGAGTATCAAATAGCAGTTTATCATAAAGCGGAGCTTTCCGCTGAAATTTATTTACTGCCACATTTTTGCGGTAATTTTTTCATGTTCCGTACCTCTAGTATTAAACTCTAATCAGAGTTAGTTTAATCGTGATTTCTCAAACACTTTTCTTTTATGTCTACCAGAAATGAAGGCTTTGGATGGCAATGATGAGCTAACTCCTTTGGGATTCATTTTGGCTCGACTTCCAATTGAACCACGTTTGGGAAAGATGTTAGTTTTTGCATGCGTGTTTAATTTAGGAGGAGTAGCTGCTGTTCTTTCATCAATCGCAAGTCTTGGCCTTGATCCGTTCCTACTGCCACCGGATAATCGGAGACTCACATACCACCAACGAAGCTTTGGAGCAGGATATTCAAGCGACCATTTAGCCGGTTTGAATGTCTTTCAGGTGTGGGCTTGCGAGCGTGCTCGCCATGGAGATGAATCGGCTGATATGTTGTGTGAGCGTCATGGCTTCAATAGTTCTGCCTTACGAATCATCGACGATGCTGCAAACCAAGTACGTGTAATTCTCCCAGGTTTTGGTGACTATTTTCAAACTTTACTCTATGAGTCCTTGACGTTTTTAAAATAATGCTGTCAAATTCATGGATGCTTAACACCACCACGCGTATAACTTTTCAGCACACGTGTTGTTTGCTGAACAATTACAAAATGTCTAATAACAGATGACAATAAATACGAAGCTATGGTTGATAGCTGTATGCCGCAAAATTAGGGGATTAAATATTAAACTGACACATTTTCATTAGACTGATGTAAACTGATCAATTAGGTATTCATGGTGATTGTTGAAATAACTCTATCATACTCATTTTATTTGTTAAATAACACAATTATAAAGACAGGTTCAGTTATTCGTACTCTAGTGATTACCTAGACTTCAGGTTATCTCATCCACTTTTGGTAAAGACAGGTTTAGTTAAGTGTCTGACAAATGATAGAAAACTCTAATTGGGACATGAGAAAACCCAAATAGTGAGATAAAACAGTGAGAAGAGGCATTTGTGCTAAATAACTATTTCGCAGAATTCGCCAGAAATATCAGAAATTTACAGTAAAAAAAACTAGTGGTGAAACTACCAACCGTAACAAATTCGAATTGCATGATGTGGTGGAGATAATATCTCCGTACGCAACATTTGAAAATAATTTGTATTGATTGTTGTTACACAATCCGTCTAGTATTTCTTTATAATACTCATAAATATCAGGTGCATTTAATTAATTTTGGGCTTTTTATTTTCATAATTGTAGCTCAGAACTATTCTTATCAATTTGGGTTTTCCTGAAGAATCGTTATCCGATGCTCCGATTAATTTCAATGTTAAACATAATGTTGACTGCGACATAGTTTGCACATTATTGATTTCTGGGTTATACCCTAATATCTGTTATCATTCGGAAAAACGCAAACTACTAACTATGGAGGGAACTTTAGCACTTATACATAAAGCCTCCATCAACTGTTTCAAAGACACTAAGTTCACCTACCCATTTTTCATTTTCGATGAGAAGGTAAGTTGACACAAATATTAGAAGTTAATTCATGGTTTATATTTTTAAAGTGAGTCATTTCCCAAGAATCCTATGTGATTTGCTCATTGTTCATTTTGACTACAACATTGTCCAGAAATAACGCTATTCAGTTACATTTGTTTCATTAATGTAAGTGTTAGAACATGGTCATCGTGACAAAATGTTGGATAAGTTTATTTGATATAACACAGTAGTAGAATATTGGTAACTACTATTTCTGTACCACTATGTGTTATATCAAAATTTTTTTATTCCTTCACGTTCCCAGTGGGACATGGCTTCAAGCTAGAGGCTTGAAGCTTCTGTAGCAGTGTTTATTTTACAGGATGGGGTTACTAGCCTCATGCCCAACCTTTCGTCTTCACCAGCTTTACTTCTGGCTTAGTGAGGTAAAGGAGTGCGCCGGCCAGGGATCGAGCCACCGACCATGTGCATGGTCGGCGAGCGTCCTAACCGCTATGCCACCGACGCACGTTATATCAAATAAGCTTATCTAATCTAGAATTACATTTGTTTAACCCACTAAAGTGGATATTTATGTTAAGAGAATGGCGGTAAAAACACTGAAGCTTTATTTCATTAAAATAATAAGCTATGGGATTTCAGTACAATTTCTGTGATTTTACTTTTCAGATTCGTACTCAAGCAGTCTCTTGCAAGGGTCTATCAATGGTAAATCCAATACAGTTGATGCTTTTTGGTTGTCGCACAGCCGTTTGGAGGAACGACGATTCAGGAGAGAAAGGAACTATTGTTATCGATGATTGGATTCCTTTCCGTATGGACTATACTTCGGCAGCCCGAATTTTCGCTCTCCGTCCGGCTTTAGAAGCATTACTTGTCCGAACATGCTTACGACCTGAAGGTGTCACTGATCTACAAGAAGAGGATCAGCGCGTTATTGATGTTCTCCATCAACTGTGTTCTCCGGAGGCCTTAAATCCAAATGCTAGTTTTGATGGGATGAGTTGCACTGATTCTCCGCCCAAAAAGAGGTTTGCTGTAGCGAGTAATTATCCATTACTTTCTGGTCGGTCGCGTCGTACTACGGGTAATGAAGATCCGTACTCTGAAAAACAAAATTATGGGCGTTACGCCAATCAGTTCAATCGTTTCAGTGGTCCAGATGTAAGATCCGGTGGTCAGTCAGGCTATTGGCAAGACTCAAAGACACAGTTTTCAAATCAGCGGTATTATAACCAAGCTTCGCTAAATCGTTTTCCCGGAAACTTCATGGGAATGCGGTCTTTTGGTGCTAACAATGTGAGGAATAATTATAATGAGTCTATGTGGGAATCACCTGCTATACCAAATCTTGGTGCACCTCCACATCTTCCGCGACCATTTCCTAATGAACAGTTTATCCAACAAAGACCACCCAGACCTAGTTGGGGAAATCGTTACTGATTCCTGATCCCATAGTTTAGTTTTTTTAAAAACTAATTTTGTTTTGATTTCTTGTGTAAACCCCCTTGATATGTTATACTGTCTTCATTTTATTCGCATCATTTCTGGTTATTAAATAGGCCAGAGCTTTCATTCCCGATGGACTTAATGTTATTGTTTAAATGCATTTTCGTTTTCATACTTAATTTTATTGTTGTCACTGGTTTCCCTTACACTCTCATATAAACACTTGTAAATTAAAATGCATAGTCATCTATTCCATTTTCCTCTCTGCCTTTTATAATCCTCGTAACATTAAAACTGACACGCATTTACCTCCCCAGGTATCAGTAATATGAAGTCATAATTCCAGCGGTTTGTGTCTTTCACACTTGGTTTTCATTTGCAGCTTCTCACTCTAATGAGCTGGTGGTTATGATTTCTCTCTATATCTGCACTTAATTGACTGAGTTTGAACACAGAGAAACGTTTTACCAGATTCTATGGTGACGACATTCAAGCTACTGATTGACAGTATTGTTATATAACAGGAATCACTAGTTTTATGCACCTATTCGAACTAAAATCTCTTGTTTTTTCCTCTTTTCGGTGGTGAAATCGTTGCTGGAAAACATTTATAAGGCGTATGAAGTCAGTGGAACTCCATAATACTTTGATTATTATGCATAACAAAGTTCAAGAAAAGCATTTATTCAGTGACGTTTTCGACACGATTTATTGTTCTAAGTCATTTTTAATGTAACTACATTACTTCTATAGGTCCATGACAGATAGTGTGTGTTACTTATCAACCACTTGCATTTCATGCAGTTGGCATTATGCCACACCTGTTGTTTGAGCACAAAATATACTACATTTTCTCCCAAAGCCTAATAGGTCCAGGGGGGTCTAAAACCCCATGGTCTAGTTAATGGAAGTCCACTTCAACGAATGACCTACAGCTTTGCCGTGACAGATTGAAGAAATCCATTACATGAGTTGCACCCGAGAACTGTGTGGAGGAGCTGAACACTATATATGATTGTGAAGTCTTTAGTGATCATATAGAGAAAAGAAGTGGTTACAATTTGAAGCATATTACTGAGTTGGAAAATATAAGTAAATACTGAAGAAACAGGGTTATAAAACTGCTAGATATGGTAGAAAATCCAGATGTGTGGAGAAAACCGTACCGATAAAATATTCGCCAGTAAGAAGTAGACATGCATATACTGAAAAGTTGTCAGAAACTGGATGACGTGAGCATAGCAGATAAAGTCTGAATCTTTGTAGTGTGTGTTATCTGCTTCCAACAGCTTACAGCAGATGAAAAAAGTGAATTTCACTTCGTATTGAGTCTGTTATCAAGAAAATCTGTGGAATACAATAGTCTATTGCCATCTGATACGTAATCTGTCCTTTCTTCAGTTGCACAAATTTAGCTAATATCGTAATTGAAAAAGAACACCTACTCTAGATATGTAATACGATAGATCTTCATTTGAAAACATTGTGAATTACTCACTACATCTATGTGAAAAGTCTTAGGGTCGTAATGACCAATTTAAATGTTTTGATCTGCATCTACCAGAAAGAAGTGACATTTAATTCAGCTCACATACACGTAGAGGATCTGCAACAATTAGAAAAATAATCAGATGAGCACTGAAGATAACTTGCAGTTAAAATGATTTAGGTAAACGAGTACAAATATTCTCTGATTTAGTGAGAAGTAGGCAACCATATTGCTCATTACTTTTTGAAACGCATATGCAAGTTTATGTCTATTACGGTATAGCTGAATGACAGGTAATTAGTTATTTAGACATCTTCCGAATTCATGGGCTATTGGATTGGGTCCCAGTAGCTTAATGGTCTAGGAGCTCACCTTGTAACCAGGAGGTCCTGGGTTCAAACCGTGGTGGGTGTGTACTGTGAAGAGTCTCAGACGATGACGAAACGCTGTCCGGCACTCCCACTGTTTCCAATGGTTTATAAACCGATGTCGACTCTTGATGAAATCCTGTAACTAATCAAATCCCCACAAACCAACACTTGAATTTCCCGAAAGGTTGGTATTCAAATAAGGATGAAGAACTTCGCTTTGAACTGTATAAATTGTGGATATAGTTAGCTCATTCACAATTATTGTGTTCAGGGGAATACACTTCGTTTCTTGAAATTCGTCGCTCACCCCTTTATGCAGAAGAATATGCCTACTAGCGTAGCCTTTCAGTTTATGCATCTATTTATAACATGACTTAGTTAGTTCGTTTTCACGTACTATAAGCATATTGTAACTTTCAGACTTATACAATGGAATAATAATAGGGATGCATTGATATCAAGTCCTGGAAGTCGATCTTCACATGATATTCTGATGTGTCGGTTTGTATGAATTTCGTTAGTTACAAGTTTTGGTCACAAGCTGACATAAGTTAGAGAACCATGAAGTACTGGACAGCTGTCTCACAATAATTTTGGGGCTGTTTAACAGTTTGCATCACCAGGGGTCGAACCTAGGAGCCTCCTGGCCATAAGACGAGCTCTTAGAGAATTCGGCCCCTGGTACGAGAACCAATGGCCCATGAATTACAACTTCTGTCAGTTCACAATATACATATGGTGCAACCGTTAGACGAGTAACTGTTCTCTTACCTGACACGTGGATCCTTATGGTCACGACTTCTCACTAGAATATGGTATGGTATTTTAATCAATCTGCTTGTATATGCACTTAGTAATGTAATTTATCTAAGCAATGGTCTCATTGTTTTCACCTCATCATTAAACGTATATCCGTCTCTGTATGTTTGGTGCTAATTTTCGAATTCTTTGGATATCCGCAACCCTGAAAATACAATACCTGATATTTCTGTGCTACCTTGTGACTCAGGTGCGTAGTTAGAAGCTTATGGTTTTGTCTCTTAAGACAACTATTTTTCTAGTCTTTGCATTGATGCAATATCTCAGTCGTTGCACGTGTTATTAAATAATAGTACAGTGAAAACGACATATTTCGTGCACTCTCACAACTTATCCCATCTACTCCTTAGTGAACGGTATATTGAGACAATCAGTACACTCTTATCATCCTATCTCGTACACTTTTGTTTCTTTTTCATCCATCTGTTTTCATGTATTACGTATGCCTAGCCATCGCCTTCCTCGACAATGGTCAATGTCAGCTGACATAGGATGGGTCAGTTTGGAAAAAAGCCAGTGGTGGTCAAACCAAAACATGGCTTCACCCACCAATCAATGAAATCCACAACAGTTAGTTTAAGCCAGCCACGTAGGGAGGTTTAGACTGCTGTCTGGTTGGGTTCCTCGGGACGGTAAAAACCAATGGCTGGAGACAATTAGTGATATGGCTCAAAATCGTTCTCAGTGGCGGCGAAGATGCATCCACTCCTTGTGACTTATATAATATCCAATAAAACTATATTGTTCTTCGAAATTACTATTTTTTTGCCTCATATCTCTGTTTGCTGTCTGTGTTTTGCATTTCTCTTATACTTTCTTCTGTTGCTTTGTGTGCTGAGTGAAGTGTGGCGACTCGAACTGCTGCACATCTGTGCAAAGTTCTACGTTGAAATCAGTCGTCCGTTTTCAACTTTATTTTCTCAACTCCATAACACTGTTTGAAATTTGAGTTTACTTCGTATAAGAATAGGACTTATGCACTGTGGTAGAGTATAATTCCATTATGGGTAAAATTTACTTTGGTAAAGTCTCACAGTGTTATACAGTTAATATTTACTGATGACGTTTCGAGCACAAATTATGGCTTATAATCATATCCAGTTTAGTTTAATTCAACTGTTGTAAGTCAGTAAAGAGTTGTCCTGTCGGAAAGTTGCCTACTAGTACGACCGACGTCTAACATGGCTACTGTGTTTTATTCAAACTTTCCAACTAAAACGTTTGCAAATTAATAGTCAGTTACTTAACAGATTGGTGTGATCATTCTTAACGCCTCTCCTCTATTTATAGATATTAATAAGTTTTTCTTCACATAATGATCCCATTTTCAATATCAAGTTATACGGTTAACACCAGTGAACATTTTTTTCAGATGGAATAAACTCAATAATTAAAGATCAGTAATTCTATTGTTTGTGCGTCGGTGGCATAGCGGTTAGGACGCTCGCCGACCATGCACATGGTCCGGGGTTCGATCCCCGGCCGACGCACTCCTTTACCTCGCTAAGCCAGAAATAATTCTAGTGAAGAGGAAAGGTTGGGCATGAGGCTAGCAACCCCATCCTGTAAAATAAACACTGCTACAGAAACTTCAAGCCACTAGCTTGAAGCCCTATGTTCCACTGGGGAACATGAAGGAAATAAAAAAAAAATTCTATTGTTTTAACAGTCTCTTAGTTTGATTATTAACAAAACGATTTTGTAAGGAAAGAGATATTATTAAATAAACGATAATCATATGTTGTGTGTATATTTAATTCGTAAATGAACGGTTACATGTGTAAATGAAATAAAGCTAACAAGGCTTGACAATGGAGATTCTTACGGATGTTTATTATTCCTGCTTGCTTTCCTTTGTAAAATATTGATAAATCTTCTTTTCAGATTTCCATCTTTCTTTTTAAATTTCTGTTGGTACTGTGGGATAGAGGAGAAAGATTGTGGAAAATATTTTAGATATTGATGTTTATCAATGAAACAAATCTTATTACGTGATCATTGCATCGAATTCGACTTGAATAGTTTTAAAACGTTTAGTCTAGGTTATAACATTTACTTATTCTGAGATTATTTATTAGTATTTAATTTTATTGCTGTACGTTCCCAGTGGAGCTTAGAACTTCAAGCTAGAGCTTTGAAGTCTCAGTAGAAGTGGTGTGTATATTTACGAGATTAACTAACTAATTGTGAAGATTATCCAATTCAATTTAGATTTTCCCATCGATTGATTGCACCGAAATTCTCGGCCTCAGGTTGACATGTCGACTCCTTGTGCAGATGCTTCGACGATGTCTGGTCACTTTAACTTGAAGTCAGTTGGTAATTGATGACTACCAGTGGAAGTCAGAATACGCATTTCGTTTTATTTGTCAGTGAGAACACCATCACTCATTGGAGAATGCAGGTACATCACGATGACGAGTCCCAAATAGGACGAAATGAGCATCCTGGATTCCAATTCTAGTCACCATCCACCAATTGACTTTAAATTGTGAAGATTGTTAATTCTGGATATTTTTATTTAGGGAAAAGGCAAATAGGAATGATTCATTGGATTTGCCATTCGTCCAATCAAAACAGCTTAATGAATGTTTTCTGTCTTAGAATAATTTAACTATACTTGACATCTTAGTAATGGATTTAATTTATATATATATATACCTAAAGGTATAACAGAAGTGGACTTATTGATTTAATGCTTTAAAGAACTATGAATACACAATGTGTGCTATGCAAGTATAAGTAGCATATCCCGTAACATCTTTGGAGATGCAATGATAGTTTGTGTATCAGTAGAAAAGCCACTAAATAACAACACTCAAAAAAGCTAAGGATGCTAGTGAAAAATCTAATAAGCCAGCCGTCAGTGACGAGGGTTTGAGCTTTTGGATAGCTAGCGCCTCAGCTCAAACCCACGTTTTGTATCCAAAAGAATTACGTCCAACCCCTCTCCCTGCCATGGCCATCATAAACAGGTAAAATTTTTTTTAGTAATGACAATCTCATCGCCTTTCTTATCTAAACTTCCTGTTTATTCATGTTATTTTAAGTTTTTCTTAATCCCTGTCTACACTACCATATTTACATACCCACTCTTCCTGTTTATTTTGTCATTTTACTATTTCTACATATTTAATCCCTGATTGCATAAACAATTATTCATCATATTAGTTTTTATCCAAACATCCTGTATATTTTGTTATTTCTACATTTCTAACCCCCAATTGCACAATGTCAATCTTCTTAGTTATTATAATGCTACTTTGTTCGAGTTTTATCCGTCCCCCTGTTTATTATGGCATTCTAATCCCTAATTGTAATTTTTATTAATTTGACCCTTAACCGGAAATTATTCTGGAACTTTCCCATCCATCTGATATAAATACACGAATGTACAGCCTAGATGATGACTTCGTCGAAAAGAAAATTTTCTTCGCTGCAATTGTCTTTTTGTGTATCAGTAGAAAAGTCACTAAATAAAAAAAAACTCAAAAAAAAGCTAAGAACGCTAGTGAAAAATCTACTAAGCCAGCCGTCAGTGACGAGCAAAACATGTCAAATGCAATATAATACTGTTTGCGAATTATGAATTAGGCACCAGGTGGTTTATGATTTTCTGACTGTCTTTAGTATTTTGTTGCAGTGAACACTAATTATACCCCACAGAAATTAGTTAAATTATCTAAATATGAGATAGAAAGGAATATGCAAAGCTGAAGACTATTACACTGACCAGAAATATTGTACTTTAATGCACTATTAATATATATATATATATATATATATGGTTGGGTTTAATGGGATTCTCAACTTATTCATTTGTTCATAATGTGGTACTGGTATGTTGATATAAAGGTACCCTCGATTTCATCTATATTGATACCTACTTTATAGTGGCTGACTGTAGAATCAGTGAAGTGCGTTTTGTTCTACTCGGGACTCACTACTTCTATATATTTGCTGCGCAGCATATGGACTCGGTCCCAAAAGCGACAGACACTAATAGCAGATGGTCGAAGGTAACCGACAGGAAGCCTTGAACCTAGGTTACATGCTTTTTGGCCCTCGTCATCAGGGCGCATCTGCAATCTTGAAGGAATTCATGTCGTCTCTGAAAATGAAGATACTTGTTGCTGACAAATGCCAAAAATTCCGGAACCTACGTCCAAGACTTCCCGCCGATTACCTTCAACCATCTGATAACAACAATTCAGAGTGCAGCGTGATGGCGAACCCTCTAGCACGGTGTTCACACTGCAAACTTGACTCATAGAATTCAGTCTGCACCAAACAAAGGACTGGACATATGACACTAGTTATTGGCTAGTGTGCAATCGAAGACACTGGTAGTTTTATTTCCAGGGAAAGGTTGAAAATTCCACCTACCAAAGAAATGGTTATATTCAGTAGTCTACGATTTCACAATATAATGCAATCCTATTGTTACCTCGGTCGGTCGGTCGGTTTTCGACATAGAACTTTGCACATATGTGCCGCAGTTCAAGTCACCACAATCTATGTAGCACGCAAAGCAAGAGAAGGAAGTAGAAGAAATGCATAATATAGACAGTAAACAGAGGTGTGAGACAAAGGAATAGTAATAACGGAGAAGAAAACAGTTTAATTGGAAATCATAAGTCACAAGGAGTGGATGCATCTGCGCCACTGAGAACGATTTTGAGCCATGTCACCAATTGTTTCCAACCATTGGTTTTTACAATCCCGAAGGCCCCAACCAGGAAGTCTACATCCTCCTACGTGGCTTAGATTAACTGTTGTGGATTTCATTGATTGGTGCCATGTTTTCGCTTGACCGCCGCTAGCTCTTTTCCAGCATGGCCCTATATCAGCTAACATTGCCCGTCGAGGAAGGCGATGACTAGGCGTACGTAGCACATGTCCTAACCATCTCAGTCGAAGTAATTTCACAGTCTCGTCGACTGATTTCCCCGCCTTACCTAGCACTCGAACGATGCCTAACCTCAATATTGCTCACCTTATTATACCACTTCACGCGGGAGATGGAACGCAGACACCTATGATCGAAGACAGCTAATCTTTTCATGTCTTCTGCTCTCAATGGCCAGGTCTCACAGCCATAAAGGAGGACAGAGCGGACTGTTGAGCAGTACACACGCCCTTTGGTCGATAGTCGGATATCACGTCTACGCCAGAGATGGCGTAAACTGGCGAATGCGAACCTAGTCCTCTGCATTCGTGCTGAAATTTCGTCTGAAATCAACCCGTTGGGGCTGATGGTACTTCCCAAGTAATTGAAGCGGTCAACGTGTTCTACCACTTCACTTCCTATTTCTAATCTAGGGGTCGATGAAGTCCAATCCTGCAGCATCATCTTACATTTTACAGGGGCGAATCGCATGCCAAACATACGGAGATTGTTGCTCAGGGTGTTCAGTAGACTCTGCATTTTTTCAGAGTCCTCGCCTAGAAGGACTATATCGTCTGCATATTCTAAGTCGACGAGATTATTCCCTGGTAGCAAGTCAATCCCTGAGTCGGTGAAGTGTGATAGGGTTAAGTCCATTAGTACATCTATGATGAAATTGAATAGGAATGGGGATAATGGGCATCCTTGATGGACGCCACTAGTCGTCACCAATTCAGATGACAACTCGCCATAAGCCCTCACTTGGCTGCATGAGTACGAGTAGAGTGCCTTAATCAGTGCAATGTATTTTCTCGGCATTCCCTTTACAGCCAAGCGTCGCCAGAGAACCTCTCGGTCGACAGAATCGAATGCCACCTTCAGGTCAAGAAATATAATGATTGTCGGACGCCGGTAGGAATGCCTATGTTCTAGAATCTGTCGAAGGGTGAAGATGTGATCAATACACCCTCTACCTGGCCTAAAACCTGCCTGGTTTTCTCGTGTTTGTGTCTCCCAAGCACCACTATATTGAGCCTAGGATTTTAGATACTATATTAGATCCCTCTGTGATTATCACAAGACGACTTGTCCCCCTTCTTGTATATCGGGATGATCAGTGACTTTCACCAACCCGATGGGACTTCCTCTGATTCCCAGACGCTGCCTAGAACCTACGTTAACGCAGACAGTAAACTGTTTCCTCCGTCTTAACTAGCTTCAGATTGGTGACAGCTTTAGTAACCTCAGTTAAGGACGGAGGACCTGTGTCTTCTATTCACGGAGTGTTGGATGTACGGCAGGTTAAGTGTGGCTGTGGGCCAATTAAACTGCTCCTCATAGTGTTCTTTCCAGCGCTCCAGACGTCTATCCTGGAGCTAATTATGGTGCCATTTTTCTCGGAGATTGTTTCGCTTATCATTTGCCTTTTACCACCTGTTTCCCTGATAAGCCTGAATAGTTGTCTGGTGTTGCCTATCGCCGATGCTTTTTCCATCTCTTTCGCCTTTGTCAACCACCACTGTTCACGGTCCTTGCGGAGACTTTTCGTAAGTTTCTTTTTGTGCAGCTTTCGCTTCTCATTGAATTCGGAGCTCGCCGGAATAAGTCTTCCAGCATCTATCAGTTCGGATGAGGCAGTCGAAATCCAATGGTTTTACTCACCTTTGGATTTACCTTGTTCACAGCTTTTACAGCTGTATCTATGGCTGACTGAATATTTTTCCAGGCTTCTTCAGGGTGAGCGCAGCTGTCGAACTCAGATATGTGTTTAGTTAGTCCTTCCTCAAATAGGGACTTAGTTTCCTGATCGAGCTGGGGACGTGATGGGTTTACCGCCAGCTGTTTCCTACGTCCGTTCAGTCGTAAGCACACACAAGCGCGGACCAGTGCGTGATCGGTATCTACACACGTGTTCCAGAAGGAGCGACAATCTCCTACCGACCCACGCCAACGATAGCTTATTGCTATGTGGTCTATTTGTGTCCAGCGTTGATTTGATGATGGGGGTCGCCAAGTCAAACAGTGTCTCTCCTTGTGTTTGAAGTTAGTGCTTACAAGATACAAATGATTATCTGAACAGAACTGTAGGAGACGGTCACCGTTGTCGGTTCGCAGGCACGGAATTCCGTATGTGCCACCGACATTTTCTCAGATTGACACAATTTCCCTACTTGAGCATTAAAGTCACCAGCTAAAACGACTATATCTGAGCGTCTAGCCTTTCGCAGCAAACTAGACAGCTTTTGGTAGAACTCATCCTTCGTTTCATCCGAACTGCAGTCAGTGGGGGCGTAGGCGGAGATTACGAAAAGGCATCGGCGGGAAGTGCAGTCCTTTCTCCTTTTGTTACCTAACTGCCACCTTACATAACTATGTCTTATTTCCCAACCATACATTCTTATCTCATAGAATTCCAGTTGAAGCATTCATAGATGACTAATTAATTTCAAAATTGTTTTAATTATTGATTGACATTGGTAGTTATATATTTGTGTATTGTGGAAGTTAATGTGAATTTTCTGAGGTAAGAAGTTCATGAAAATCAGTGGAGTTTTATCGTTTGCCTAGATACCTCTTTCAAGACATGTATTACTACTACTACTACTAATAGAGAACAGCAACTGAATACTGCTTATATTGATAAGGAGATTAGTAGTTACAATCTTCATATATATTTTATCAATACCACTGACATACTTTCTGCTCTTATGGAATTAACCCTTGTTTCATGTTAAAAAATCCCCGGATATTAAAAACTATAAAGGTATGAAATAAGATGAAGGAAGTAAGATTTTACAACTAACAGTCATAGACAGGGTTTTTGTACTTACCATAATCAATAAGGTGGATAACTTTGAAAGTTTGATTAACATTTCGATATGATTGCATATCGACATGGCACGTCAGTAGTTGCCAGTGATTTGTATTGGTCAGCTTTATGTTTGCTGTAGCGGTTGAAGTAATTAAACCTGTTAATCCATAATCAAAGATTATAAAATGGATTATACTCATTTCTTAAAAAAACAATGTAATTAATTAATTCAAATATTTTCAGCGCCCGTTGTAGTCCGCTTCAGTATCATTCAAAATCAATGGGAACTGTTTATGAACAAAAGAAATCCAAAGACATGACATTTAATCTGCACTGGGGTCGAATGTCTGGTATGATAATTATAGAACACAATTAATAATAATTCTACTGAAGAAGTTGTGGTTTACATAGAGAAACTTTCAGAAAAATCTTGTCTTTGATTTTCTTAAACACGCTGGGATTATTTTAAATAATTTATAATGATTCAGTCTGACTCGGTGCTCAGATTACTCCAAGAAATTCGTAGCATCTTTGGTCTGGAAACTTATGATAATTACAGTAATCCTGTGTCACAGAGACAGGTAAGCATTCTAACCTCGGTATTGAAGGTCATAGAAACAAACTTATTTACACTGTCAACTTTGATTGGATGGAGGATCCCATCATGAGCTGACATCATTTAGAAAACCACTGGGAGTACTGAACAGCTGTTTGGGACTCTTCATCACTACGCACCCACCACCACGGTTCGAACCCAGGACCTTCTGGTTACAAGGCGAGCTCGTAGATCACTGAGCCACTGGGTTCTAGTGGGAAGCCGTGACCAGTAGGGTACAGCAGGTTGAAGATAAGGCAGTAACTCATCGAAGAAGACATTGCGAAATGGTCGCGCCATGTAGTGAACTGGCGGAATTCAGAATTCACGGGCCATTGTATTGGGTCTCAGTGGCTCAATGGTCTACGAGCTCGCCTTGTAACCAGAAGGTCCTGGGTTCGAACCGTGGTGGTGGGTGCGTACCGATGAAGAGTCTAAAACTAGGACGAAACACTGTCCAGTATTCCCAGCCGGTTTTCCAATGGTTCTCTAACCAATGTCAGCTCATGATGAAATCCTCCATCCAATCAGACAAAATCCCTACAAAACCAATACTGTTAACTTTGTCAATATCATGCAGTAATATAGCTGCAATTTTTTATGAAACCATTCATACTATAGAGACAAGTAGTCAAATTCAAAATTTGCACTCGACACAGTTCGAGAAAAGACCGAGTAGGCTGAAAGGAATGATTATTAGGTGAAACGTATTGTACATAGGTAAATTTCGCATACCATATTTTCAAACTGCCATTTGCACATCCTTGACGAATTGGTCGAATATCGTCACATTCAATAGCATCTTGGATTCTGCATCATATGGCAACATTCTTCTCATGGTTCTCTTCTTTGATTGCTCTTTCCAGTGTGCAAAACATATTGTTACTTTTCTGAATTCGTTTCTGATATACTACTTATATCGGATTATAAGTAGCACTCACCACAATACTACTGATTGGCTGAAGTGAATAACTGTATACCAGTCATATATTGTGTATACCACTTACACATTGCGATCTGAATCATTTGGCCTCTAACTGGATTTTTTTTAAATAATTTATAACTGTAAGTATTATTTTTTTATGCACTGTTTATTTTATCCTTATTGTGTGTCTATATAAGTGGTGAGTGATAATCTATTAACCTCATTGTTAAGTGTATAATATTCACCATATTAACAAAAAAAACGAGTTATTGTGGTAGAATTAATGCAGTTACAAATATCTAGATTTGTTAATATTCAAATATGAAGAGACTACGTAAACTTTTTTTAACTTGCCTACAGCCACACTGAGCCTCCCCGCCATCCAGCACACACCCGAATGGGACATAGACACTGGCCCGCCGTCTGTAAGTGAGGTCACCAAAGCAATCTGTAATTTGAAACGAGGCAAAGCGGCAGGACCCGACGGAATTATTCCGGAGGTGTTTAAATATGGGGGTGACATACTAGTATATAGTTTAACTAAGGTACTAGGTAACGTCTGGGAATCAGAGACGGTTCCATCAGACTGGGGTAAGTCACTTATTATACCGATTTTCAAGAAGGGAGACAAGTCGTCATGTGATAATCATAGGGGGATCAGCTTAACGAACATAGTCTCTAAAATCCTAGGCTCAGTAATCATGAACAGACTAAGCCGAACTCGAGAGGAACAAACGAGGGAAAATCAAGCGGGCTTTAGGCCAGGTAGAGGGTGCATAGATCATATCTTCACTCTCCGACAAATCCTAGAACATAGACACACTTTTAGGCGTCCGACAATTGCCATATTTATTGACTTGAAGGCGGCCTTCGACTCCGTGGATCGAAAGGTACTATGGCAATGTTTGACTGTGAAGGGAGTGCCAAGAAAGTACATTGCACTAATCAAGGCACTCTACTCAAACTCACGTAGTCGTGTAAGGGCTTGTGGGGAATTGTCATCTGAATTGATAACAACCAGTGGTGTCAGTCAAAGATGTCCACTTTCCCCTTTTCTGATTAACTTCATCATAGATATGCTAATGGAAGTATCCTTAACTGAATTTAACGACTTAGGAATCGACTTGCTACCAGGGAATAGTCTTATAGACTTAGAATACGCAGACGACATAGTCCTGTTAGGAGAGGACGCTGACAAAATGCAGAGTCTTCTGAACACCTTGAGCAGCAATCTTCGTATGTTTGGCATGCGATTCGCCCCTGTGAAATGTAAGATGCTGCTACAGGACTGGACTACGTCAACTCCTAGCTTAGTGATAGGGAGTGAAGTGATAGAACATGTTGACCACTTCACCTATTTGGGAAGTTGTATCAGCACCAACGGATTGATTGGTGACGAAATCACAGCACGGATCCAGAAAGCTCGGGCTGCTTTCGCTAACTTACACCGTCTCTGGCGTAGGCGTGACATCCGGCTGTCAACCAAGGGACGTGTGTACTGCTCAGCAGTTCGCTCCGTCCTTCTCTATGGCTCTGAAACATGGTCAATACGAGTTGAAGACATGAAAAGGTTGACTGTTTTTGATCATAGGTGTCTACGATCTCTTTCTCACGTTGGGTGGCATAATAAGGTAAGTAATGTTGACGTTAGGCGTAGAGTGTTGGGCAAAGAGGGAAAATCACTCGAAGAGGCTATAAAGTTACATAGATTGAGATGGTTAGGTCACGTGCTGCGTATGCCTAACCATCGTCTCCCCCGACGGGCATTACTAGCTGATATAGGTGTAGGTTGGAAAAGAGTAAGTGGTGGCCAAACAAAAACATGGCATCAATCCATGAAATCCCTGACATTTAAACTGAGTCAGGTAGGGAGATGCAGACTTCCGGGTTGGGGCCCTCGGGACTCTAAGAATCAATGGCTGGAGACAATAGGTGACATGGCTCAAAATCGTTGTCAATGGCGCAGATGTATTCATATTCCTTTCTACCATTACTCATTCTGTTTCACTCTTATACTTATCTAAATTCTATTGATTCTCTTCACTCATTTTCCTGTCTACCTTTGTGTGCTATTTGGAACGTGGCAACTCGAACTGCTGCACTCCGGTGCCAAGTTCTATGTTGAATCCAGCAGCAGCAGTACGTAAACAACACAACTAAACTTAACATATGTAGACCAAATAGGACTAAATAACAAGATTTTAACATGTCTGATTTAAACTCATATGATAGTTTGAACACCCCTCATTAAAATTAATACCCAGCTATGATTTTCGTTTTGCACATATTCTGAGTAAACTAACAGTATGTGAGATAAAATAACGGCAATAATAATAATAATTAAAATAATAATGGAAAAACACTGTAAAGAGAATAGGGAAGGGAAAGAAAGTTATAAAGGTAAAATCAAAGTATGCTACCAAGGTAGATTTAAACTAACTACTGTCTCCTTTCGTATACAGAGATCTGGCTTCTTTATTTTGATAGCCCAGGCTTCAGTGAAGCCAAGAGCGTTTTCATTGCCTTGGTTGGTAATAAATATAAAGGTATTACTTAACGTCACCATATGATTACAATCCAATCATTGTCGCGTCATTGAGCTAAAGTGATACACTTTTCGTTCATTAATGAACTGTATTTTGAAACACATGGCGTACCGATGGGAAGCACATTAGGGCCCCCCTGTTTTCAAATATTTTTCTGGCAAGTTTAGAGTATGCTTCCTCAAAGGACTGCACAGGAAAAGCTAACATATATCAAGCTTCCATATAGTATGCCGAGATAAATTTGAAGCAGAGATGATGTCAAAAGAATTTAATTCGTGCTATGCTAGTGTGGTGGTGTGACACAGACAATGTGTGTCAATGGAATGTTATTCTGACATGTTCCCACAGTTCAATTGGGCATTAACAACAGAATACGATATATCTATTTGACGTCAGAGTCGGAATGTAATTCCTACAGGCTAATACTGCATACAATATATCTATTTGGTGTTAGAGACAGAATACTTTCCTACAGTTCAATACTGCGTTGGCAATAGAATGCGATATATCTATTTGCACATTCTATTTCTTATCATTTGATGTAAACTGAAATCACATGCTCAGTGGTTGGTTAACGAATATACACTGTAGATATATAAACAGAGGTTTGATTAATGAGAAATATAACTTGGCTTCCATGTCTTGCCTTCAATTGTTACCCTAGTATAAAATTTACAGTGGAGCATGAAGATACTATATATATATATATATATATATATATTGATAAAATCTCGGTGTTATAGAGTAATATTTACTGATGACGTTTTGAGCACAGTTAATTGCTCACAATCATATTAATTTACTTACACAACTTTCCAATCGGCCTCTAACTGGTTTAAAACAGCATAATAAACATTGTCATCGCAAAGGCTGATAAGGAAACTAGATGGTAGATAGGAGAAGTCACTGAACATATTGCAACTACTCCATATGAGGAGATTAAGAAGCCTGTTGATACAATAATGAAAAGATTAAGAAATCCACAGTGGATTTAATACGCAGAATGAAGCCGTCAGTGGGTGAGTCTAAATGATTTAACTTAATGCTAGTAGAATATATAATACTATAAAAATATATAAGCCAGGTTACCTCATACGACCAATATTAGATTTCAGAAATGCCCCCACTTATCAATTGTCAAAACACTTAGCTCTGATATTACATCCCATTAGAAATCATTCAAACTCTAGACTAACTCATCCATATGAAATGAAAAGGAATCTAAATAACATTTAATTAGAGAATAATGAAAAAAATAGTTTTGATTTATTAATATACCAATCAATATGGCCTCAGAAGCAGTTAAAAGAGAACTAACTGCCGATCCCGAAATTAATCATAGCTACCCATTGAGGTTATTATTTTACGAATTCAATTATGCCTCACATCTACTATCTTTAAATTCCACGGCAAAATGTATCAACAAACAGAAGGTGTAGCAATGGGATCATCAATATCCCCTATCGTAGCAGATATCTTTATGGACAGCTGGGAAAATATGGCTGTTAATACATTTAATCCTACTCCAAAAATATGGTGGAGATATTTGAATGACACTTTCACAGTTTTAAAAACAGAACATATCTCTAACTTCTTGACACATATAAACTCACTACTAGAAGGAATAAAATTCACACTTGAATCGGAAAATGAACAAGGAGAATTAGCTATGTTAGATTGTAAAATTAAACGAACAGAATAAGGTAAACTGCACACTAGAGTTTATAAAAAACCAACGCATTCTAATAGATATTTAGACTTTAATTCATCTCATCCGTTAATTGTTAAGGCAGGCTTAGTTAAGTATCTAACACACCAAGCAGTAGCACTAAGTAGTACAAGAAAAGACCTAAATGATGAAATAAAACAGATAGAAGAAGCATTGGTATCAAATAACTATCCTATAAAATTAATTAGGAAGATCAGTAAAGACCAAAAGCAAAATAAAAATAATTGTGAAACTAGTAATAATAACATAAATAAGAGAGATTATAAGCCATTTACAGTAGTTCTACCATATAAGGAAGGAGGGGACATCTGAGACCCTACGTAGGATTCTCAATAAAGCAGGAATTAGAGTGGCATTTAAACCTACAAACTCACTCAGAGACAAGCTCTGTAGATTAAAAGATCCTACTGACCCAATTAGACAAAATAATATAATTTATAAAATACCTTGCAACGACTGTCAGGTCAAACTAGCAGATTAGGGGTTGTCAGATTGTCAGAATCTAAGAATTTAACTAAGGTTAGAATGATTGATCCCACGAAGATAAGTAATTTAGAAAAAAGCTCAGCGATTGCACCACATGTATTAACACACAACCACATAAAAGGGTGGGAGAGGGTTAACATTCTAAAAAGTAATATAGGTAGATGGAGAGAGGTTGATTACTGAATACTTGTTCATTGAGTCTACACCCAACACGTGCTATAGGAATGACTCATCACTCATATCGGAAATATGGAAAACACTACTACCAATCAAATCAAGAGATGATAAATAGTGGAATATATAAACGAAGTTGTGTGAGTAACTTGATATGATTATGAGCCATAAATTGTGCTCGAAACGTAATCAGTAAATATTACTGTATAACACTGAGATTTTATCAAAATAAATTTTATCCACATTGGAATTACACTTTACTACAGTGCACAAGTTCTATTCTTATATCAAAGAGGATAGTACAAGCAACAGGCCGAGATACTACATCTATCCTCGCCATATCAAATTGTGTGTATTAATTTACACGTGTTAGCGGAAGCAAATACACTGGACGCAGGGAAAGATATCTTCTGTCTCGATTTGCCAAAAACTGCCACAAATAGATTCCTAGTACTCATGATGGCATCCCAAGAAGCACAATCGCATGACAACCAAGGTAATGAAAACGCTGTTGGTTTCACTGAAGCCTGCGCTATCAGAATATAGAAGCCGGATCTCTGTATACGAAAGGACACAGTAGTTGGCTTAAATTTACCGATTTCAGGCATTTCTTAGAAATGAACCCATCGCATTCACATACCTAGCAAGATCAGTTACGAAAGGAATACTTTTGAACACTGCTGTTCAACAGAAGTATAATAATACATGAAGCGAATTGAATTTTACTGAGGATTTATGACTTTTAGTCTGATGAATTCCTAATCAATCACAGGCTACATTGAGCAACATATTCACCACGTGACGCACGGACTCAGCACGATCTTGTAGAGATTGTTAAGGAAAGCAAAACTTATGTGAAGCTATCGTTCTGTCATTCCTTCACACCTTAGGTTTTTCTAGTGTATGGTGTTAACCGTCTCGATAATTTAGGGAAATAAATTTTAACATGTCTACAGTGATTTTTTCCACTGTTCATCGTTTTTGGCTGGTATATTCATGAAATTCACATTCAGTAAAACGAATCTTTGTCACTTTTCTTCAACAGACCACATATTCCCTGCTGTTTTACTTATTTTGGTATTAGCATTCATCTACTTCAGCTGTTCCATTTTTCAAAAGAAATCATAACTAACTGACTAACTCTTGTAAATGATGATAATCAGTCAACGTGATCCTTTCTACGAACAAGTGATTTACAGGCAAGTATAATTCTTGTGGAGAAGTCGTTGCATCCGTTTTTCTGTGCACCGAATGATGAAAGCTTAGGTTTAAATCCATATCCCATAAATCTTAAGGAGAAAGAAAAACAACTTGTTTCCCTCATGAGCAGTGTAAGTGCAAAAAATTATACGGACAAATCTATCAGACTACTAGTAAGTAACTAAAAGCTATTTTATAAGATTCTCTGACACCTTTATCAGCCTAATATTTTCATCAAGTTGTGAAAAGAGGTGAAAGAAAATATTTTTCTTATGTGTTTGTACCCAGTAGTATGTCTTATTTATAATAATGGCAGCTAAATCATTGGAATTTTTTCTTAATAAAACTTAATACACTAATATTTCTGGTAGGTAATTCACAGGAATTCCCTTTGTCAAGTAGCTGAAATTATTCATTTTTTTAGATTAGCAATAATTACTTCAGTCTTTTTGAAGTGAAACCCTTGTAAGAGACTATGAAGAATTCACCTAATGAGTTAATAGGTCACTCTCTTTGGCCACTTCATTTAGCCATTTTCACCGGTTTACCCAATTTTTAGTTAACAGATTTTAGTCTATACATATTTCATATGGAATCATTGGTGGAGACAAGTATGAAAGTTGCTTTGAGTAAATCGTGACTTTCAAAATCAATAAAACTGCCAGATTAATCCCTCCAGTCTCAGACCAAAATATTTACCTCAGTAAAGGAAACAGGTGTATAATGGGATTTAAGGTGAGGTCAGCCGTGTTAAATGGATTAAATTGAACTATGACCTGAGGCATACAAATATTTTTATTTCATGAGCTGACCATCTACTTTATGTAGGTCAGTGACTGCATTATTGTCACATGAAGCACATCAGAGTATAACTCAATAAGTCAGTTTTTACAGGTTTTCGTGCAAGTCATAGAATTCGAAAGAAAACAAACCTAAGAAATAAAAATTGTGATTTATGTTAACTAACCTTCAACATCAACTTTTTGTACAACACGAGCTTCAGAAATAGGAATTCCACCTAAATTCAAACGAATCTGAGGTGTTGGTTTTCCTGCACGTGCTTTACATTCAACATAAGTACGTTGACCAACCGACAGAGAAGTTTCATTATCTACATATAATTGAAGTTCCCGAATAGGATCTGTTTAGTAAATCAAACAAATTGGTAATCAGTATTAACCTTCCTGTACAGTTCGACTGGTTTCAAAAAGATTGAGATTTCAATAAATTATAAGTATTCATTGGGTTCAAATAATAAAACGTTTTTATGTCGTTGTTTTATGTGTTACTGATCAGAGAATAGCCTTTTAATTACATTTATTTATTCGTTTATTAGTTTTAGTAAAATGCTCATTATGTAACTCCTGGCTTATTATTGATCGGTGTTCCTGGAGATATTTAGACATTTTTGAAAGTGTATCACTTACATTTAAAAGAAAAGTTGTAATGCTGTAGTAAGTAAAGGTGACGGTATCCTTCCCAATGCAGATTTCATCAGGAGTCGAGATCAGTTGGAAAATAATCGGAAACGAAGGAGCACTGGACCACTGGGAGAGAAATCCTTAGTTCAGGACTTTACAGTGATGTGAACCAATGATTTCGCTAGATTTCAAACCTATGACATTCAGGTTTCGAGGTGATCCTCAATTGAAATTCAATAATCGGTAGGTTTTAACTTCTATAGATTCACGGTGTAACTCCATCGTCAGATAAACCCACTGATATACATCCTCTTCACAGCCAGGAATTCTCATCTTGTCGCCACTAATCATTAGGAGATCTACATTGAAAATGATCAAAAGCCTTACAAATTCAAAGTCTAAAATATAATAGTAGGGTACACTATATGTCTTCTTTATTGATTGAGAAGAAGCTTAAAGTGAAGAGTGATAAGGGTTTACTAGGAAGACAACAATTTGGAAAAACTGTCATGCAAGTCAGATAAAAAGATGAAAGTTTGTCGACAACAGATTTAGTGTATAAGATATTGTTCCATTGTAACACATAATCACTATTGATTCTGTCAGTTTCTACACCTAATAGTCAATACATTTTGCAGCATTGATTATTTCTGTTTCACGTCTCCGTATTTGTTTTCACAGTACCTCCTTGTATTTGTTGTTTCAATGTAAATTATTTTTTTACTTATGACGTCAGATATTTTTTTTACAACACTAAGGGTTTGGCGATGTACAGTTTACTTAGCTCAAGTTAAGTAAGAAAAAAAGTGTGTAATTTGAGTCTAACAATCGAGAAACAATTCTCTAGTTTTACCATATACTGTGTATGTAATTCATTGAATAAAAAAGTGGATAAAACAAAGAAATTAATACTTCCAAGCCTGATTATAGACTTATTTGGCTGATCAACAAACTGTGTAGTCAAACAAATTGATGCTTTGATAATACCTGTAAACGTATGATCGACAGATAGATCAGAAACTAGGTTATAATGTAATTTTATCAAATACAAGGTTAGCAAATAAGAAAAAATGCATTTTAGTATATCCAGTGAGTTTTCCTTACCTCAGTTGACTAGATAATATAAGAAAAAACTTTAGCATTATGTAATGTTCATCATTTTAGACCTTGTCCTCATAACATGAAATAAAGTAAAGCTTAATGAAATATTCAAAGAGATGGTGGAAAACGTTACTACTAATCTATACAAACTATAAATGATGCTGGGGATTGGTACTAGTTTCATTACAGTAAATAATATTACTACTCAGAAGCAAAATGTTTAATAAATTATTTCATACAATAATTCCCATGTATAAATTTGAACAGAGATAGAACAAACACTGATGTAGAATAATATGGAACTATTCTCGTTAACTGCGTATAACATATTGTTTATCATTAGCCTTACGTTTTGTTTCACTATGACTTTCTAAAAACAATGCTTACTGAAGGATTGGTTCTAAATGATGGTGAGAGCCGGAGAAATAAAACTGACCCATATTATTCTTTCTCTCCACCAATGTTTGTCCTACCTCTGTTCGAATAAATGACTGTTCTCCTTCTATGTAATATATACACAAATCTTTTCTTGACAGAACTACTCATCAATTAGCTTAGTAATGGTAGAATTTAATCGACACGCTTATGGTTCTTCCAGAGAAAAAAATATCTGCAAATGCATAAAACTCCTTGTGGTTACGAAGACCCCAGAATGCACTATATAAACTGTAACAGCCGTTGGAATATCTGGCGGACTGGCATTACATTGGTATAACAATGAACTTTGCTTGTTATTTGTTGTTGTAACCAACGTCATCTGTGAGCTAAACAAGATGTAATATTATGTAGAAGTGAATACGAATCATTCTTAGGGTTACGCCATATACTACTGATATATGCTTGAACTGATTCACATTAAAAATTACTTTACATTTATTTGAAATACAAACATCTTAGAATGTCAAATTCTTTATACTACTAATACATGAACTGATTTTGTTTAGTATCGCATTATGAGAAATGATTTGAAATTCTTAGTGACATTATCTCATAGTGACGTGGTACTTTTGATGCTCTATAAGTCTTATAGGTAGGATAATTTTGGTTGTCTGCACCCAGTAGACATTATCTTCCTAAGTTTGCAGTCGCACTTGTGGAGCGAGTTATATTGGCTTGTTTTTTCGTGCTCCCTCGGGAACATCTACTAGTGTGGCTGAGTGAAAGTGTAGTAAAACCCACCAACAGTTCGATATTAGACCACCTGCTCCAAACCAGCCACAAAGCTAGCATTGAAGAATCCTTTTCTATCATTTACCGAGTACCAAGTAAACTGCCAAAAACATCCAGGTACCGCATGCTCCAAACAGCAGAGGCTATCGCGATTCGCCTTAAACAACTAGTACTTTTTGTGCAGAGTAAGCAAGTCTAGTCACTACTACTGCCCTGGCTTTCAGTGGAGACCATAAATTCATGAATTTGTATGATTATTTTTCCTAATGTTTCTAATATTCAGTGTGGTGTTATGTTGATGCTACCGAGCTGTAATCCATTGATATTATTATTGATTTGATGTTATTTAAACAACATTAATGTTGTCATTCACTATGATGTATATATAACTGTAGAACCTGATGATGAAGTTATCGAAAAGAATATTCTTTGTTCAGTAACCATTCTTTTGAAAAAAAATGTTAATGGGCATTTTTAATCAGTTAAAATGTATAATCAACGAAAATAGATTTATTCTGAACAAAATATTTACTGAATTCGCAGAGCAATTTATTGTGTTATATTTTCTCATCCAGGATCTTCAAGTAAAGTAGCAGTGTATAGTATACTACGTGATGCAGTGCTTTAAGATCTGAAGCATAGACTAATCCCTTATGTGATATTTTCCCTTCGTCTCCTCGAAGTGCTCACCGTTACTTTGAAAGTCAATTGAAAAACATATGTGTTAAGTACAATTTGAGACTCAAGGATATAACTGAATGGTTAAAGCAACAAGAATTAGAGTAAATATGATGCATTGTGTTAGGGGTAGCTGAGTGATTCAAGTAGGCCATCAAAACATACGAATTTCTGGATTGACTTACTTGCGACAAGAACATAAGCAGAAGCTGATTCACTTTCAGAATCCGGATGAATAGTTTTACACTTGTATTCACCAGTATCAGCAAAGTCTATATTGGAAACAATAAGTTCACACATAGCCATCATTTTTTCAGAGTATCGTCCAATAATAACTTTAAATTTTGGATCATTAAAATTTCTGGTAGTTGTGTTGGTTTGAAACAGACAGCTCCCAATTTTATTCTAATCAAAGAATTACAGTTAAAACAAAAAGGATAATGCAAGTAATCTGCACAGTGACTTTAACTACTGTTTACCCTATTCGACTTATATTTTGAAATTAAACTCAGAAATCTGTAAAGTGATCATTAAAAAGATCATGTTTACTACTCATCTTGTCTATTAATGTGACGCTAGCGAAGTTAAAGCATACCCTTATATTCACCAATTTCATTGAACAAGTTTTGCTATTCTGTGGCAGTAAATGTTTTTCAGTAGTCAATATCTGGTCAACAGACTTCAGTGTAAAACATAAAATTACATCTTGTTCGTTTCGTGCTAATACATGTGGCTTACTGCGTCAGAAATGCTTCGTCTTATTATCCCATTGGTACTCATTCAAAATGGTGTATTTTGAGGCTATGCCTTAACGTGCTGTTGTACACATTTGAAGATTCCACTTTACCTCACCTTACACTCTACAGTTTTAAATCACGTTTTCTACAATCTGATATCTTCTGTTACTACAGAGGCAGGGAGAGAGAGAGAGAAAGACAGTTGGTAAATCTTACATATAAGCAAAATGTTAAGGTTAAAATTCATTCACCAAAAGATACCTACAAAACTTACAGTATTCAAATACCACTCAATGAAAACAGGTGTATTGATAACACTGCATGAATGGTGTATTGTAGCCCCAATACGTGTAATCTGATTTGTAGGACGAAGTACAAAATTACCTACAAATAAATATGTCAAGTACAGATTATAATGCTTCAGAATTAAAACAGACAAGTAAAGTACATACAGAAACTGATAAAATCTTCTAAAGGCTAACACGAATCAACTGACTCATCGACTAGGCACGTGTAAAGTTTATAACATGCATTCATTAAAATATAGAGTATGACACTTGGATTACTCTAGAGTTAAAATTTCACTGCTTAAAAAAATACTTCAAACATTTCAATTTCAAAGGGAATAGATTTTAATTTGTTTTTGTAAAATTTTCATGGAACTGCGTCAGTCATATCAAGTTTAACTTTGACTGTAAAACTATTGTAGGCATACATACTTATTGAATCCCTCGAAACACTCTTCTTATTTTTATAGTTTTAAAGCCAGTCTCTTAATTAATAAAAAGATTTTTCTTTAAAGTGAGGAAAAAAAATACATGTTACAATATTCAATGAATACTAGATTACAGTTACGATTCTGACTACAGATTCGTTTGTCTGAAAAGCAGTAGGCGTTTTGATCTCATTCCGATATTACCATATCATATCGTGATCTATTTAAAGACTTTAGATTATTTGACACAAAGAACTTTGAACATTTTTCTCCTAATATTAGGTAAAATAAAAAACACATTTTATTTAAGTTTTTTTAAAAATTTAATAACATGTTCTATATATATATATATATATCACATAAACAAGTCATCATTGTATTTTTGAAATTCAGCAAGTGTTTCTTTGTTGTTGTTGCTTTTTTAGAGCGATAACTGTGTTCAGTACACTGATACTCATTATCTCTTGTCCTTCCACGCTACATATACGCATTGCTGACGAGTACCAGTGAGCGCGAAACCCAGACCTTTGCCACATGCACTTTATTTTGTTAGTATTTTTTTAAATTTACCAGTCAAACTTCCAGACACATATTGTTCAGACACCTATCTGCTGTTGTATATTTGCTAAAATGTTAGGGTTTTTTTTGTAGAAATGAGTACCTGTGTCCTCATCGTATCCTTTCTCACTTATTCCCCCCTTTACGCCTTTTAATATAAATGTGTACTGATTGTGAGTGTAAATAGTTCAGTATTTCACAATAGTTTATAAGTCTTATACATATCACCACAATACAATGGGTGTAGGGAGTAAATGTTTTGAGGACTGTATATATTTGCAACTATCTGTAAATGTATTTACCACAACTGGAAAAACCGATGGTCAAATGGAATACGGAAAGCACCAACAACCGATATCTCTCTAGAATGAAGCTATTTGCACTTTAATAATTCCACCACCAATTTCACTACAGAATGTTTTCGATTATTTAACCAAATCAGATCTGCTTATTTCCACATGCAGGTGACCCATATGTTTCCAGGGTTTTGCAAAATTACTTTATCCTGTGTTACATATTATCATTTTTCTTACGAATTGTAAAAATTGGAAAAGTGAAACGTTTTATTATTATATCCCTGCTAACTCTGTTACCAAGCGAATTCCATAATTTAAAGAAGCCTTCTAATCTGTCACTGATCTCTTCTGTTTGAAAATTCAAATTTTACTTGTTTGTTGTGTTGTTTACCTTGACAACTGGAATATTTGTTTTCAGATAATAATCAGATAGCATGTGTCACGTATGCTCCTAATTCCTCATAAACATTTTTGTTTAAAAGCAGAAGTATTTATTAACATGTTTATTAATTTAGACATCTAGTATCAGTGAATTATTATAAGCTACCAGCTTTATTGTTTATAATAAACAAAATAATATCACCAATGATATTCTTAATTGTGGTGGACTGGATTATGCGTCAGACAGTGGGAAACGAGAAGACAGGGATATCCTGGACCGACGTGAAGAACCTAGAAGACCTGGATTTCGCGCGTGGATGATTTATGTTTGATGTCACACAAAATCGAAGACTTACAAGCGAAAACCGACAAACTGGTCGAAGAAGCAGCTGGTGAAGACAGGACTCCAGGTGAACATAGATAAGACGGAGGTTATGAAAATAACCAACCAACCAACAACAACAACAGCAGCAGCAACATCCAGCGCCAATCACCATCAACGGGAGGGATTTGAAAGAGGTTACTTCCTTCACTTATCTAGGGAGCATTGTCTCAACTACAGGAGGAACGGACGAGGATGTCAAATCGAGAATCGGGAAGGCGAAAAACACATTCATCAACCTGAAACCAATCTAGAAATCTTCGTCACTCAGCATCAACAACAAAATTCGGATTTTCAATGCAAACGTCAAGTCAGTTTTGCTATACGGATCAGAAACTTGGCGGCGGGTCACAAAGAATATTTCCAACAGCCTGTTGCAGACCCTTATCAACAGCTGTCTTCGTTCAATACTGAAGATCAGATAACCTGTAAGAATCATCAACAAGAAACTATAGGAACAAACAAAACAAGAACCAATCGCTGAACAAATATGCAAGAGAAAGTGGAGATGGATTGGACACTCGCTGAGGAGGCCGCTGGGTGACATCGCCCGTCAGGCCAGTGCTCGAGTGGAACCCGAAAGGGAAGCGGCGAGTGGGACGTCTAAAGGTGACATGGAGGAGATCGTGTGAAGAGGAGTTGAAACAGCATGGACTAGCATGGATGCAAGTGAGAAGTACAGCAGAAGACAGAAGCAAGTGGAGGCGTGCAGTTGAAGCCCTATGTTCCACTAGGAACCCAAGGGAACAATAATAATATATAAATAGTATAATATGAAAGCAGACAACAACTATTGTTTGGAAACAATGTACATTAAAATGTTTACCAAGTATCACATATGAACAGCCGAAGTCGGTCTAGTATTCGACTGTAGTAAATTTACTTTTTTAAACACTATTTAAAAGTATGTATTATCGTCTACTACTAACATCTTTCGTTTTCGATATCTGCAGTTTTAAAATGTTCACGATTTATAAAGAGTTAGTAGACAAGATTATTATATTACATGGAAACTTGTAAAATGCTAAAATTACTTTGAGAAACTCAATTTAGAAAATATTTCCAAATTGTAAGCGTATAGGTCATTGCTTCATACTAAGGATAAACAGCTTTTGATGTAGTTATTGTTATTTTAGTTATTGTAGCATTCCAGATACTCAATGTTTTATAGTTTTTCTGAGATCTTTCACAAACTGAAAACTTGTTTATGACAAGTACCGAATGAATAAGTCTGTTGAAAGCTGTTAATATTCTAAATATTTTGTTGTTCAGTTAATTTTGAGATAGTGTATATTTAGACAGCAAACTTCAACTGCTGATAGCAAATTATTATTTATCATATAATACAGTGCCTACAGCACTTAGCATAACGAATAAAGTCGAATTTTATTAACGCTAATATTAGCTCAGTGCTGTTGTATGGTTCAGAGACTTGATATATCACCGAAAGCACTTCCAGCAGGATTACGAAGACACCACGGATACCTTCAAGTGACTTCACACACGACACTGCCAAGTGGAAGAAGAACGGTAAGCCTCGGGTAAGGCGTCCTACAGTAACACACATGAAACCATATGAAGGGGAAATGAAAGCTTGTGAATAGTTGTAAATTCAGTTGAAGGTGATGGCAAAGAAGCAAGCGTAGTGAAGATGTACCGTTCTATCTTCCACATAGAATACAAGGAATGAATAATAAGAATAATAATACAGTCCCCAATTATGATATCAAAGGAAATTAGGTAGTCAGATTCAAAAAATGTTGTGAAAACAGCTAATATAATGAAAAAATATCTTTCAGTTTACGTGGTAACATTAGAATAACATATTTCGAGGTGAATATTAAAATCTTACAAATCTTAAGAGCATTTCGAAACATAGGACTGATTTCAGTGAGCTGTATGAGTCGAAACTGTTAGAACATTAAAGGCTAGCCACCCAACCAACCTCCTCTTTTCTGAGCTTCTTGTTGACTAGTAAACTAGGCTAGGTTTCACAGTGAGTCGTTTGGGAATAAAGTTCAGACCACCCGCTTAGCTGGCGAACGTTCTACCACTGAAAAAGTATTTATCATTTATTATAAATTTCGAATTTCCCTCTGATACCGGTTCTGCAAGGGGCGATTTTGGTAGTTCAAAAGCCTAGTGGATGACGTATTAGCATTTGGAACGACGGCCACTGGATCTAGGTCATAGTTGTAACACTATTACTCACTGTGATGTAGGTATAACCAGCAAAAATATAGTCCGAAATAGAACTAAGCAAACTTCCTGGATTCAGCTGCAAGCTAACACCTATCATTTAAAAGTCAATCTGAAAGAAGAATATTCTTTTCAATAATTTCTCTTCAGGTTCTTACAATTACAAAATATAATATTTGTTGTCGTTACAATAAAGGCGAATATATTTCTAGCAAAACTAGAAAATAGTCCGTTGAAAGAGGAAATAGCAAATATGGACATGTATTGTCGTTACATGGATGACACTTTTGTAGTGTACGATGAAGGATTGAGTAGTAATTTGATTTTGAGCAACTTCAATAATGCTCACCCAGCTGTCCACTTCACCTACGAAGGAGAATGCAACTACTCTCTACACTTCCTCGACGTCCTACTAACGAGAACAGAGGATGGTTCCGTAAAAAGAGCCATATTTAGAAAGCTAGAGACCAAAGCTCAGTATACACAATTCCTTGGATTTGTACCAATGAAATACAAACGTAATCTGATCAGATGCTTAGCATTTAGAACGAGGTCTATTTGTTCCGAAGACTGCGTAGAGAAAAAACTCCAGGTCATCCGAGACATTCTAAGCGAGAACGGATATCCAGAGAAGTTCATAAAAGCCAACATAGGTTACGATAGTCGTAAACACGAACTGGCGACGGTGGAGAAAAAGCCTCTGTTTTTACGTCTCCAATTCAAGGGAGATACTCCTGCGGAGATTCTATCGCAACGTTTAACCAGGGCGATCAAGAAAACTTTCTACTCTGCACGTCTGTGTCTATCTTTCAGTAGCCATCCAATGTTCACCCAGCAACTCAAAGATGTCTTATCTAAGCTTAGCTCTTCTTCATGCATATGCCATTTCAACTGTTCCTGTGGTTCAAGTTATATAGGGCGCACGATTAGACAGGTTCGTCTACGGGTTCGAGAACATTTACCAGCTTGGTTCAGCAGGGGGGAATTAAGTGCATAAAAAGCTCGATCTTGTCACACTTGTTCGATACTAGACATCATATCGATGTCAACATAGCTTTCAGGGTTATATACCGAATTCCGAAGTCGTTATCACGTACAGTTCGCTTACGTCTTGTACACATAGCTGAAGCTGTTGCAATAAGATCGACTAAACCGGAACTTTGTATCCAAAAAGAACACGTCCAGACGCTGTTCCTACCGTGGCCAAACTTGGATTGATGATTCTTCTTCTCACCAAGAGTGCTCCTCTTGGTTTTTTTCCTTTGCTTATTATTACAATTATTATTAACATTATTATTATTCGTCATAATTTATGCCCTTCATGCAAACATTCTCTCAATACTATCGAATTTTCGTTTATACTATCCGGACTTATTATTAGTGATCTTATCTCTTTTCTCAATATATGCCTCCACCTGTTTCATTTCACATATTCGTTATCTCATTATGAACCTCCCATTGCAGTCTTACTATCCCCTGTTTAACACAGACCACTTTGTACTAGCCACTCACCTGACACCTTTTATAACCTTGAAATGACTTGTCAATTTTCCTACACCACACTCTACAAATCTATTATGACTGATCACCACCATTGTCTCCCGTTTTACAATATTGTGCAATCGAATTCAGCCTAGCACGTTTGTCATACAAATACGACTATTTATTTTGACACCCTATAACTAATCTGTTATTCTACGTTAAAAATGTATCTGCCGCATAACTGGCCTTTATTGTAACGACAACAAATATTATATTTTATAATTGTAAGCACCTGAAGAGAAATTATTGAAAAGAATATTCTTCGTTCAGATTGACTTTTAATTCATAATATGAGAATTTTCCACACTATCAACCCTATCATTTAACATTAACTTTGACTGATAGTAATTTTCAGGGACCAAGTTGAATCACTTTGAGCAATAACAATGTCGATAGAGAAATGCTATTAAATGAAGGCTTAGAACAAAATGTATTCATATAAGGTAATGTCATGTAAATTATTAGAGCTCAAAGGAAAATATGAACTACTGTTGTCCTAAAATAATAACAAGCTCATTGACTTATGATAACAACTGCATAGCAAATTACCAATCAAAGCATAATTTAGAAATACAAAAAAAAAAATGATGATGCTCTGGATCGAGTAGATAGACGAATAACAGATTCTTACTTTTAGTATTGATCAGTGATACGATCACAAGCAGAAGTGAATGTAAGTAGTACATGATTCTCATTGAAATATGAATTATTGATGTATTTATTCGTAGGAGGATTGCACTGATTCGAAACAATGTATAAAATGGTATTTATTATAATCTTATCCCTGTTTTTAATCGCATGTATCCTAGTAACTCAGGGACACCATGGTGATGTGATATAACACCTAATTATTAATGATTAGTTAACATAAACTAAAAGATGTCGATAAAATGTTTGTAATAAGTCATTATGATTGGATTATAATGAAAAGCACAAGAAAAAAAAACTAATCGAAATAATGAATATCTGCAATGCAAATAAGAGTTCAGTGTATTGTTGTGGATAATCCCTTTTTTTTCATGCAAATTAGCAAGACAATGAATGCATAGTCCAATACAAGTAAACAATGATAAATTTCAGTTACCATATAAATAAATGACTCATAAACATGTTTTTTTTTCAAAAATTTAACTGTCCATACAAATTATTCGAATTTTTATTATATTGTCTTATGCATATTTTCTCTAAGTGTAAGACGGTGTTCTCATTGTATTTCCTTGTCAATTACTGAGGGTAAAAATTTTTTCGATGAGTCTCAAAAATGCTTATAAACTGTTCTTCTAGTTTATTTCTCACATTTTTACAGTCGTCTTAGTGGTCCAATTGGACTTTGTTCATAAATCAATTGGCAAAGTTCTTAAGTTGAAGTGGTTACTGATTGAAAGGACTGTCGAAAATACACACTTGTGTTAAGTTTATTTATACACGCTGGGGAGACCATTGAGTGATATCCTGTGCCAAGCGCTCGAGTGAAAGCCGAATGGGAAACGGTGAGTTGAGGATGGATTCGAAAGTGACATGGAGGAGATCGTGTGAGGAGTAGATGAAAGCTTATGGACAGTTGTGGAGCCAGTTGAAGAGTACTGCAGAGAACAGGGTGAAGTGGGGATTTCCTGTTGAAGTCTTATGTTACACTCGTAATCCAAGGGAATAATAATAATAATCACTAGAAAATCATCGAATCAAGTTTAATGCTGTTTCTTTCGTAATAAATATATTAATTTCTATGTGGCAATGTAATAAAATTACAAAATTGTAAATTAGCTTACACAAAGGTGACATCACATGCATAAGTCCGCGTGGCAAAAAGACCCTTGCGTGTTATAACGGAGTGTGGTCTACACGTGAATCTCTTGTAGAAATCATTTTTATTTCGGAACATTCTCAAAATAGGAAGGCTATTTTTCATTAGATGGGATCTCAATATTTTTGTAAACGACTTCCTCATTCATGTATGACCTCCATAATTTTCGAAAAGTGAACATGCAAGAATTGATGACAGTTTACTATTAATCAGTTCAGGTAAGACTTTGATGTTGTAAAAAACGTAGAAATCTAATTAGTTACGGAAAAGTGATTCTGGTTGTAGGAAAATCACTTTGATCTGTAGGCAAAACATAAGATGGAGATAAATCTATAATACATTACAAATTATTTAAATTAATCCCAGAGTGTTTAAGAATAAATCAAAACAAGATTTTTCTGAACGTTTCGCTGTGTAAGCCACAGCTTCTTCAGCAGAATTATTCGGATTTTATTAATCATCAAAATCTAGACGATAGCCATTCCATATCGAAAGGACACACAGCTGAACAACTTCAAAGACTATTTGCTTCATATAATATTAAAGTCTATTTCAAGCCCTTTAATTTTCTAGAGAAAGCTTTGGTGAATGTCAAAGATATGGTTCCCAAAATGTCAAAAGTAATTGTGTCTATAGGATAAAGTGTTCAGAATGTGAAGCTAGCTATGTAGGGGAGAAAAGTAGACAGGTGAAGGTGAGAGTGAATGAAGTTAGACTGTGCGCGAAACGTCCACCTAGAAATAAAGTAGAATTAAAAAGTCTAGAGAAAAGATCGGCTGTAGCAATGCACGCGATAGACAGCGGACGTAAGATTGATTTCGACAATGTAGAAATTCTTGGAAAAGGATTTCATTCACATAAAGAAAGGTTGACCTCTGAAGCCTTGCACATTTTAATTACATCGAGTGCAGTGTGAATGGGGAAGAAGTGGTAGACTTTTCACCTATATGGCAAACTCTAATGAAGCGAGACAGATGACCTTTATAAAAATGTATTATCACATGTGAATTGACTTCTTTTCATATGACAAATAACATACACTCACACACACACTCATATATAAAAATATACACAATAATAATTTGACAAAAGTCCTTACAAATATACGATGACTGCTTACATATCTCTATTAGTACAAATATCTATCGACAAGTGGCCTTAAAATGAATTGAATGCAATTTATGAAAAAAAATTTTGGCTTTATATTTTGATGACTAATAAAATCCGAATAATTCTTCTGAAGAAGCTGTGGCTTACACAGCGAAACGTTCAGAAAATCTTGTTTTGATTTTTTAAACACGCTAGGATTAAGTTAAATAATTTATAATGAATCAATCTGACTCGACGTTCATATTATTCCAGGAAGTTCGTAACATCTAGAAACTTATAAATCTATAATAGTTGAAAATCAGTTGAATGGATAGCTTACAGAGCTGTTGAAAGAAAGATGCAGTGATCTAAAATGATGGGGCTCACGTCAACCATCTGTGTAAAGGCAGCTGAAAATTCATAAGTTCAATTCATTTTTCATATATTAATGTGCGTTGGTGGTTCAGTGATAAAATACTCCCCAGCCAAGGACGTGGTCTGGGTTTGATTCCCGGAAGAAGCACTTCTAAACCGCCTAACCGGTAAAGAAGGAAGGTTAGGGGTGAGGCTAAATCAGAAAAATAGAGGCCAGTAAAACTCCTATCTTGGAATCCAATGCTCCTCTAGGAATGCTAAGGAATGAAATCTAATATATTCTGCATTTAAATCTCCTTATCAAAAATCATAAAAGATCTAGATATACTGGAGATGTGTAGCTCAGTTGGATGATCATAAGAGATCATACTGTGATCAAAATCGTATGGCTATTAGAAGCCATTGAAATCCCCTCTCTCTGATATTTTCACTGTCAATTTTTAAGAAACAAGGCTGGTGTAAGTTATGTTGATAATGCCCCTACAGTATTCTGTAATGTTGGTTATGCATATACTTGACTCCAAGAAATTAATAGAAATCATTTGAATATCAATTTGACAATGACATAACAACACCAAGTTTCATTTCTGCTCATAAACTGTAGGTGAAAGAAAATAATGAGACTTATTTATTATTACGATTCCCTTGGGCTTCAACAGTATATCCCCATTTCACCCTATTCTCTTCAACTAACTCCGAGAATGTTCATGAGCTTTCAAATCCTCCTCACACGATCTCCTCCATGTCACTTTCGAATCAATCCTCAACTCACCGTTTCCCATTCGGCTTCCACTCGAGCGTTTGGCATACGATGTCACTCGACGGTTTCCTTAGCGTGTATTCAATCCACCTCCGTTTCCTTCTCCATATGTGTTTGGTAATAGATTCTTGGTTGGTTTGCTCCAATGGTTATTTGTTGCTAATCCTTTCTGACCATGTGATCCTTAGTACGAAGAGAAGGCGGTTGTTAATAAGACTGCAACCATTTTGGTTGGACACTAGTTAGTAACTAGTGTGATGTGTCTAGTCTTATCTTTGGTGCAGACTGAATTCTATCAGTCAGGTTTGTAATGTGGCCACCATTCTAAGTGGCTCGCCATCACGGTGCATTTTGAATTATTGGTATTAGATACGCCTTACTAACGAGTACCAACTAGCACGAAACCTAGGTGGAAGGCTTCCTGCTGATTGCGTCCAGCCATCTAATACCAACAAAACTGCAGACCGTTAGGAATTCTTTCGGTGATGCGCCAAGAACCTGAACCATTTCCTAGTGATTACTACATATATAAAAAATGAGTAAGTAATCTTTTCTTATCTCTATTTCTCTTATTTCTAATCCCCATTTATATTTTTTTCTTCATCACACGTTGCACGTAATATTCTTTGCTCGATTATTTTGTGTTTTATAGATATCTGAATGAATATTTTTGCTATATTGAAATCTTCTGAGCATCATTTTGCGTTAAAAGTACTCGACGAGTATTTGAAGTATAGCGCAAGGCTCAGCGAAGCAAAGACTACTGTTGACTTTATCCACCAGTGTATTGAAACAAACCGGTACCCTAAATCTTATTGGAAATCTCTACGCCGTAACAGAGTCCGGCCTAATGATAAGACACTCAGACGCCATGTACGTAATCAAATTGACTCAATTCAATCGTGTATTACTGAGTTATCGAAGAACATAACGGAAAGGTTCTATGCTGTCGACGAATTACCAGAAAACCTAAAGAAACTATTTTTAGATTATGTGGATGTAATTGCGAGTAAGAGGAGAGAAAAGAAACGCATGAAGCTGGTACAGAATTTAGAGAAACAAGATTTCCTCCGAACCCAAATCGTTTTGTGTTTAATTTTTCGAATGTAATACTTAGTGAAGTGGATCTACAGGTTTTATCGCTTGGCCCTAAATTTTGTGATAGCCATGTAAAAATTAACAAAATGGATGCACAAATTCAGTTTGAAAGTCTCTACACTCAAACGGAAGGCCTAACACCCTTATCAACTGAAGATGTTGAAAGACTTAAATCAACACTAGTCGATTGTTGCTATTATTACATGAATAGTAAACGCAATTCGGATAGTATTTTGACCAAAAAACATAGAGAAGCCCTGGATGTTCTCCGTAAAAATGATAACATAATAATAACAAGACCGGATAAGGGCTCAGGAGTGGTTATCATGAACAAAGGGGATTACTTTGAGAAAATGAATACTATTCTTAATGATAATCTAAAATTCCAAAAAATCTCCTCTTCTCTGGATCCGATTGAAAAGATAGAGAAACAGTTAGCGGAAACATTGAAAAGACTGAAACAACAAGGCTTCATCTCACAGAGTCAGTACACATCACTTAAACCCACTGGAACGTTCACACCAAGACTATATGGCTCACCTAAAGTGCACAAAAATGGTATACCGCTTCGACCAGTATTAGATATGTTAAATTCACCATACCATCCCGTAGCCAAATGGTTAGTCGAACTCTTACAGCCTCTTCATACCGAGTTGGTGAAACACAGTGTAAAGGATACTTTTGGATTTGTTGAAAGGATAAAAGATTTAAATGTTGACAATAAATTCATGATATCATTTGACGTATCTTCCTTATTCACCAATGTACCACTTATGGAAACAGTGGACTTTGTATGCGAAGAACTCAAAAGACGAAACATCGATGTTGGCATTCCTATATCTTTTATGAAAGAGCTTCTCTTGAAATGTACAATGAATGTCCACTTTTTATTTAATAAGGAACTATATAGACAAATCGACGGTGTGGAAATGGGGTCACCACTAGGACCCATTCTAGCCGACATTTTCCTTGCGAAACTAGAAAATGGGCCTTTGAAGGATGTTATTAATGAACTTGAATTCTATTGTCGGTACATGGATGATACATTTTTGATTATGAAAAATGAGGAGGAAGCAAAGAACATCCTGGATAAATTTAACGAAGTTCATCCTGCAATAAATTTTACTATTGAGAAAGAAAAAGATTCTAGTATTTCATTTTTAGACGTCTTATACAGAAAGAGGATGGCACAATAAGAAGTGTATATAGAAAACCTACATCAACGGGTCAGTATACACATTTTCTCAGCTTCGTGCCCTTGAAATACAAACGCAATCTGATAAAGTGCTTGGTTCATAGAGCAAGAGCAATTTGCTCGGACGAATGTCTTGATGAAGAACTTAATAATATTAAACGGTTGCTAAGTGAAAATGGTTATCCTGAAAAGTTTATTGATAAGAATATGAATCTAAAACCAAAGCAGCCCAAGTTACCAACAGTTCCAAAAAAGGCCTTATTCTTACAAATGCAGTTCCTTGGGGACAACACCAGTGAGATACTAACACAGCGCCTTAGAAATGCGGTAAAAAGAGCATTCCCTGCTGCCGAATTACGCTGTATCTTTAAAACCACTCATCTTTTGCGTTCGGGAGTGAAAGACAAACTGCCTAATTTCGCCTCTTCCATGTGTATCTACCAATTTAACTGCTCCTGTGGAGCCAGTTACATAGGCCGTACAATTAGGCGTGTTTCTCGTCGAATTTCCGAACATCACCCTGCGTGGTTAAGCAAAGGACAAACAAAATCTATTCGCAGCGCTATTCTGTCTCATCTTGTGGATACAGAACACAAGATTGACGTTAACCATGCTTTCAGGGTAATTTACCGCATACCTACGAACCTCAAGAGTTCGACTACTAAATATTGCTGAGGCTGTGGGGATCCATATTAATAAGCCTAATTTATGCATCCAAAAGAAGTTAGTTCAGACATTATCATTACCTTGGCCATCTAGGTTTGAATGATCATGAATTTTTGTGAATCCTAATTTTAGTTGATATTCTATTCGCTACTATATCTTTATTATTATTATAATTTAAGCATCTTTAATGAACTGTAATTGCATTGATCATACTTTACAAATCGATATTATTTAAAAAACACTAATATTGTTATTGACTACTAATTTAGAATATTCTATGTATATAAATATATATATAATTGTAGAGCCGGAAGAGGAATTTATCGAAAAGAATATTCTTTGCTCGATTATTTTGTGTTTTATAGATGTCTGAATGAATTATAATTTCATTGACCCTTGCAGCTTGAAAATCAATCATACTAAATTTTCCCATTTCTAAATAATTCTTATTTCAATGTTCTGTTTTAATATTCTAATAAAAGTTTCTATTTCATGATTCATAAGTAGTCATTTCTCATGACATTCCTTCATTTTTGCTTTTAAATAATTGGGTGTTACGCAATATTTCTTCAGCGGGAATCTGTTCTTAGTAATAATTATCTGTACAAATCAATACTACTTGAGATTTAAACAGTTAAGTCGATTATTCCTGGAGGTCTACAATATTAGATAATGTATTATTTAGTTGCATTAATTGTTTCTTCACTATTATTGAAAGTGACTGTATCCGAGTCAATTATTCCGTAGGAAGGCCTCTTGGTATGAAGAAAACAATGTTTACACTCAAGTAAAAAATTTAGTTTAGTTGGTTAGAAATATAGTTTTCATAAATTATAAGATCAAATTCCAGCACCATTACTTTCGACCATCATTCATAACAATTGTTGATTGGTTGGACACACTCTGAGGGGACCTTCAGGTGACATCATACACTCCACTTGGGCCGTTGGAGAGAAGCTCAACGGTAAGAGATGGGTTGGGCGTTCGAGTGTGACACAACGAAGAGGAAATGAAAGTCTGTAGACAGTTTGGAGTTTATATATTTCTTACATTTCGAACAGGTATTTTAGGGCACAGGAAACACTTTTACAGTTGAGTGCATTTAATCTACATCTGTATTGAGCCTAGTAAACTGCTTTTTCCTGAAAAGCTCAAACCAGCAGTCAATGACATTATATGAGAACATATTGGCCTGTATAAATCTTCTTTACTTACCCTACTTCTGGGAAATCCAATATTAGTAGGAAGGCGTAAAGAATACCCCATTAATTTCAAACGACAGACGTCCAACTTCCTCAACTGACTTACTTATCTTACCCACAAATCTACATCTGACTTCTACATTGCTCATCTAGTAGTTCAACTAAACGTGAACTGTGCTACGGAGGTGACAGTAGTGAAATATCTGTAACTTTCGCAAGAACTTAGTGGAAAATACAGTCAATACACTCCAACTTTAATGGCGCATCGAGTACCTGTATCTTGAATTGTACGATTTTCTAAGAGCCAAATTTAAGGTTGTAAATTTCTAGTAGGGCAAATTGTCATTAAACGCTACTAATTTCATTCCCTATTGTCATATGGTTATCCATTTTGCACAATCTTAAAATTACAGGTTAAGGAAGGTACTATAAACATGTCTGAGTTGTTCAGAGCATTATGACTTATCAGTGTCTGCCACCAAAAGATATGCATCACCTATATGTTCTGAGGCAACTAAGAAATACTTCATAAGCTCATCCCTACGGAATTTAACGTCTAGGCAGTATCCCCTACAAACTTTTCCCATCTTCGTTTTCGAACATCAAGAGACAGAATTTATCAGTTTAATAGCACACTGGAAATTACCAGGCATATTCAGGATGAATGAGGTTATGGCTAGTTGATTGGGCATGAGTTCTTTCAAAGTTGCAGATACGCCTTGTTGACTAGTGAGTGCCAACTAGCACGAAACCTGTCAATTGTCTCCAACCCTCTAATATTGATCATTTTCCCCTATATATATATATATATATATATATATATATATATATATATATATATATATATATATATATATAGCCCAAACATTCCCATCATTCTGTTGGGCATATAAATTTATATACTGTTATTCTGAATCTAATTAGGTACATTCATCAACCTGAAACCAATCTGGAAATCTTCGTCACTCAGCATCAACAACAAAATTCGGATTTTCAATACAAACGTCAAGTCAGTTTTGCTATACGGATCAGAAACTTGGCGGGTCACAAAGAATATTTTCAACAGCCTGTTGCAGACCTTTATCAACAACTGCCTTCGTTCTATACTGAAGATTAGATGGCCGGAAAGAATCACAAACAAGAAGCTATGGGAACAAACGAAACAGGAACCAATCGCCCAACAAATATGCAGGAGGAAGTGGAGATGGATTGAACGCTCGCTGAGGAGGCCGCTGGGTGACATCGTGCGTCAGGCCATAGCTCGAGTGGAACCCGAAAGGGAAGCGGCGAGTGGGACGTCCAAAGGTGACATGGAAGAGATCGTGTGAAGAGGAGTATGGACTAACATGGATGCAGGTGAAACGTACAGCAGAAGCAAGTGAAAACATGCAGTTGAAGCCCTATGTTCCACTAGGAACCCAAGGGAATAATAATAATAATATTAGGTACAAACAAACGACTGCATGCTCCATAAGTAGTCATAATACATCAGACAATTGTTTCTATGGTTATCACGATTCACAAACTCTCTTGGTATAGGCTGCTATATCATTGCGATATGCCTGCACAACAGCTAAATAAATGTAGCCTACTGAAGACAGTCTAATGACTCATCACCAAACTCTATACACTTACACACACCATTGAGTAACGAGAATCTGTACATCGAAGTTGACATTATTTATGCGAAGCTAGTGACATCATTACCAAAATACAAAAGTAATCTTTCAGTAGTTTCATCTCAACAACGCATCATCATAGTATAAACAGTAATAAATCAAAAGAATCAAGTTTTGTCTAACGATAATAAACAAAATCTTTCGTGGAATACCAACGAACTTTATTGTAGGAAACAATGAAAAATTGCACGAAAATTAGCATACAATATACAGTAGTTCTTTTATAAATAATAACTGTGATCACAGTAAAGGTTAGACTGTTTGGTAATAAATAAGATGAATAAGAAACTCTATATCAAATGATAAACATAATAGAATTTTCGAAAGACATAAGGTTGAAGTCATGTACATTTATGGGACACATAATATTTTTTAAATAAAAATGATTCATCTTGAGTAAACTTTATGTTGTCAGTTAGTGTTTCATTGTCATAAAACGATGGCAGCTACAAAAACAAAACAGATAATTTGTATCAACCAATCTGACAACGAGTGAAGAAACTAATGATCATTGATCGGTTATCATTATTATTATTATTAGTAGTAGTAGAAGTAATGGTATTAGTATTGTTAGTAATGAAAAGATAACCAAAAGCTGTGAATCTACTTGTCTCATCTAATACAAAAAAAAATAACAGTAATAAAGTATATTAACAGCTGAACACATATAGAAGTAACTGGGTTATTCTAATTAATTGATTTGATTAATAATGAAGTGTCAGAATACTGTTGTTTTTTAAAAATTGTATTTAGAATCACAGAGATTAATGGAATGAATTCAACCGGTTGAGTTCGATTTTTCAGGGAATAAATGCGTCATAACGAACATGCATATATCTGGATTGGTCCAGTAACTGGTATGCGAAGTCAAAAGAGAAATGTACATATTTTCATAGCGTGAAGAACGCAATTCAAAGTCCAATCGATGCTCCAGCTGTAATGATTCAAGACACAGATCATCATTAACAAATATATCAGTAGAATTTGTAGTTGAAGTAGTGTTGTTAGTTTCATTTTTATTTGTAGGGCTATATGAAGTGGTATCTTCTGGCATAGAATTAATCTTTTCTTCATCATCGCTTAATAATTCGAAAGTTGGTGGACCGTCAGTCTTTGACGTTCCGTGATCGAAACCATCCTTAGGAGGCGAAAATCCGATTGTTTCAGTTTCTTGAGTTGAAGAATACGATGAAGCTCGTGATAAGAAACCGAAAAGTCGACCTAAATGTAGAGGAAATATAGTTGATTTTTTGAAAAAAAATAATAACTGATTTATTTTATTACCTATGAAAGACACAACACGTGAAATGTAAAATAATAAAAACAAAACTTTATAAATAAATGATCGAATTTCAATATACTAGTCAAAAATACAAGCAAACAACAATTAGTTATTCTTTTTTTTAATGATTACTTTTCATATGATAGTTAACGTCACTTATTGCCTGATTTATAAATCTGCTGACAGCTTTATTCTTTTTTTTATACAGTGAGTCCTTTCCGGTAAACATTTTGTCGACCGCTGGAGTATTAACTTTGTTGCTGTCATATATGCGAAAGAAAGACCGAGGGGACAGCAAAGTGATAAAACTGTGGAAATATATATTCATGCTTAAATATCATATTAAATGCCTTGATGTGATTAAAAAAGTGATATTATTCGACAACTATTACTTTGAATAAAGGTCTGTCGGTTGAACGATAAATGGCAGTGTTAAATTAGAGCGTCAATAAAATATCGTTAAATAATAACACAACGACTGAAATAAGATGCCAACTGAGTGTTACTAATGAGCGCCAACATTGGTCCACAACCATGAATGAACAAAAAACTAGAAATATTATGATAAAACTCCAAAACAGATATAATGGAAAAGATTTGTAGCTCAGATGGATGATTTTGATGTAGTTGTGTTCTCTCAAGCTGGATGGTTTATTTGTGAAGCTTTCATAGTCCTACTAGGCAATATCTTTAGCGCATACTTCAATTTGAAGTGAGCTTTTAGATTTCTCCATGAGTTTATAAGTCATCTTTCCTGGTGACCTTGGAAATGACTCATTGCAGCACCCCTACGTTAAGGAAAATTGAAGAAAAATATCTCATGGACATCTTCCAAAAGAATGGATATCCACGGAACTTCATCAAAAGACATCTATCCCCAGCCAACCTCCTAAAATCAAAGGCCCTCAAGGAAAGCACAATGAAAATCGTCCTACATCTCAGAAATCACTACAAGACTATTCACACCTTTAGGAATTGACGTCTCACACAAACCAATGAAATCACTTCAGTCAGCTATATATCAACCAAAAGACTCAACAGCGAAAGAAGATAAAACCAACATTATCTACAAAATAAGCTGCATTGGCCAAAGTGGACGTCCCCTTCGTCTTCGTATCCACGAACATAAACTAACCGTCAAAAGACATGACATCCACTCCCTTATATCGCTGCATACACACAACCACGAACGCGAATTCGACTGGGACAGTCATGGAGAAAGCTAAAAGCTCACTTCAAATTGAAGTATGCACTGAAGATATTGCCTGAATGGGCAATGAAAGATTGACAAATAAACCATCCAGCTCAGAGACCACGACTACGTTAAAAACTCAATAATTTTTATGAACTTTATTAGATTTCGTCAATTCGCTCTCCAGATGTGTACGACCTGGAGATAAAATCAAATTACTTTAAGTAATTTGGTAGATGATAGCTACCAGCGGAACCCATAATGCACATTTCGTCCTAGTTGAGACTCATCATCTGGGTGTACCTACATTCCTCTGTGAGTGATGGCGTTCCCACTGAGGCTCACACCCAGTACTCGTCATTTCAAATGCCAAGGCGTTTTCCATTAGGCCACCTGGGCCACGAGAGCCACCACCCCTTGTGCAACGGGTGTCAGTTATTAGTTATTTTTGACTCAATTTCGATTTTCCATTGATTGATTGGACCAAAATGTTCAGCCTCCCTTGACATGTCTGAGGATTAACCTGAAGTATCATTGCCAACAAACGATGAGTGTCTGATTACATATGAAAATGAACAAGGTAAAATTTATTTTGATAAAGTCTTACAGTGTTATACAGTAATATTTACTGATAACCACGTTTCGAGAACAATTTATGGTTCATAGTCATATCAAGTTACTCACACAACTTTCCAACTTCGTTTATAAATAATTCTATTATTTTTCATTACTTGATTGGTAGTAGTACTTTCTATATTTCCGATATGAGTGATGAGTCATTCCTATAGCACATGTTGGGTGTAGATTCTATGAACAAAGATTCAATAATCAACCTCATCACTCATACCGGAAATATGGAAAATACTACTACCAATCAAATCAAGAGATGAAAAATAATAGAATTATTTAAACGAAGTTAGAAAGTTGTGTGAGTAACTTGATATGATTATGAGCAGCAATAAATTGTGCTCGAAACGTGGTCATCATTAAATATTACTGTATAACACTGTGAGATTTTATCAAAATAAATTTTACCCATAATGGAATTATACTCTACCACAGTGCACAAGTCCTATTCTTATAAAAATGAACAAGGGGTGTTAAGAAAAGTACTAATAGTAACTAAAACATTACCTATGTCATCTCTTATTATTTAAAACGATCGCACAAAATGAAATGTTTTTAGTTCTAAACGTAACCGAAGAAATCATCTAATGTCTAATGACACTCCTAATGTGGCGTGTGGTACTGATAAGATTTATCAGTAGTATACAGACATTCGTCGGCATAAAAATATCAAGTAGTGGAGAGACAAGACTTGACGTCAAAGGGAGAAAATGACTCAGCGTTGCAGCAAAACATGGGAGACACGAAAAGAAGACAATGTGAAGGGCAGAAGCAGCACAACACGGAAGATATGCGCAAATGACGTTTTGCAGGTAAGGTGTACACAATTCTGCTACACGGAGGTACAAAATTCTAAATAAACATTCCTTTACCAAGTCTCTTGTCTTCTACAGTTACACTTATGCTACTTTTAATTATAAAAAACCTAAATGTGACACAAAAACGTTGTTGAACAAAACAGAAACGGTTGACTTATCTTCATCATTACATTTCACACAAAAGTAAAACATATTTTTCGTGTTTGAAATTAATTTTTTCATGAGCTAACGAAATACGTGAAACTTGTGTTTTGAGTTTGCTTTGATCAATTTAGTTTGTTCAACGGAGTATTCGTATAAATTACAGGGAAACAACTTATATATATTACCTAGAAATAAGCAGAATAATTAATTCCATGCAGAATAACACATTGCAATTAAAGAGAATAAATAACGATACACGAGCCAGCTACAATCAGAAGATACCAAAGTTTGTACATTTAGTGACAAATTACAGTATTCAAAATGTGAAAAATGAAATTATTGGTGCATTAATCGTTTTGTTAACCAACTTACTGGCAATCGATAGACGTCTAGAAGAATCTGTACAAGTATCTGGGGCTGCCAATAACTGATTCGTGTCCGAAGCGCTTTTAGATGTCTATTTTTGATGCAATCGGAAAATATTATAAAATTAACAAAGTTAAAACATTAGAGAAGATACTAAGATTACTTTAGGAATGATAAACAGGGAACTAATTATTATTCATAACAAGCTGTATTCCTGCTATCATTAGTACAGCATTCGTAAATTATTTCTCCAGCTATAAGAAGGCAATGTAATCTTTAGTTTGTAAAGGTGATTTTAACAGTATAAGAATCATCTAAACAGAGACAATCAGTGTACACCCCAGAGGAGATGCATATCCATAATTGCTTCTTTAAACACAAACTAGAGGCCTACGTTTTTTCAAGAATTAGTTTGTAGGGATTCTATTTATTTCAGGTTAGACCATGAATTGATATCAGTTAAAGAACCTTTGAAAACTAGAGAGTACTGGACGGTTGCTTCGTCCTAGTACGGGACTCATCGGCAGTACGCTAGTGACTGGAGTTCTGGGGAGAAGTCGTGACCACTGCAGTTTATCCAGTCTGGAGTGAGGATGTAGTTCTAGCCGATGACACTGGTTGGTGGTCGCGCTAAAATCACGAATTCGTAGAAGTTAGAATAAATGGACTGGCGATTGAATCGGGTCTCCAGTGGCTGAATAGTATACGAGCTTACCTTGTAACCGGAAGGTCCTGGGCGGGTGCGTACTGCCGATGAGTCCCAAACAAGGACGAGACAGCTGTCCAGTACTCCCTGGTTTTCAATGATTCTCTAACTGATATCAGTCCGTAGTTTAACCTAAAGCTTACTTACTTAAAATACGCGGTTTTTCCTAAATGAAGAATATTATGTTAGGCGTTACCACAGTCGTTTGACAAGGGTTCATCAAATGAAATTGAACAATCAGATTTAGTGCTTAGTTTGTGAAACCAGCTACAACATAAAAAATGCGAGATCTACCAGTGAATGCAAAGTTAGTGAATCAAAACGGTCATACACCATCTAAGTGAACCTCAACCTCAATTTAAGAATGCCTAACATTGTATTCTTCAATCAAACATAATTAATGTCGACTTACACAATCCTCTGATTTTTGATGTTTAAATTCTTTACCAGAACATGCAATTAAAGGAAGGCTGTCATAACAAGGTCTAGAAATGGCATCTACTCGATGAATCATAGCTGGTTGGACGTTAGAGTAGTATTTCAAAATTAGTGGTTCTAAACGATAGGCCTGAAAACGGAAAGAAAATTTACAAACTTATAAAAAAACAACAGAAAATGAATTGCTACAATCAGTGTTTAGTTTATTATTAAGGGTTAAACTGTTAGGGCTTTATATATATAGAAAACCTTGATATGCTCGTTGGTACTCATCAGGACAGTATATCAAAACCTTTGTGTAGACTAATGTTAACCTTCAAGTCAGAACGTATATCACTATGATGCTGAATACATAGCAACTGAGACTAGAGTAAGCTAAAAAGGAATTGCAAACCAATGTACGTATGTATCGAGTCCTGACTGCTGCTCAGGTAAAATTCAAGGGAAACCTTATACATATATATATATATATATATATATATATATATATGTATATATATATATATGTATATATATATATATATAGCAGTATATCCTTTTGAAAGTTTTAGATTAAATATGTATCATTAGTCGAGATCGATTTCTGTCATACTATATGTCATTTCGAATAGTTCAGTGTTAACCAACATGAAAGAAAACAGTTTGTTCATATTAAACCTGACAGTGACTAATCTTTTAAATCAATAGATAAATGTTTCTGCTCTAGTTTTCTGTCTTGTTTTTTTGTTGTAGATACTAGTACTGTTATTTCATTAGTCAGACTAACTCAGAGAATGGTTAACCATAGCAACACATCAGAGTAAACCTAATTAGACGATAATAGTGTTATTCTTAATCCTGAACGCCTTCATTTGAGGGACAAATTATATTACTTTAATCCACTTTTGCACATATTTTTTTTTTGATTTACAGCTTGATTTCCACACCGTATTTTCAGTACAAGTGTGGAACTTTCAGCATGGATATCGGTTGCCCAAATTCAGGCATACCATAGATATCGGGTGTGCGCCGGCAGGGGTTCGAACCCCGGACCATGTGCATGGTCGGCGAGAGTCCTAACCACTGTGCCACCGACAACAAGAAATATCTAAATTCACTTTGTTTTTTCATGTTCTCATTCGAAACTCGATCAACGTACCTTCTGTAGCGTTCTCTAAATCTGATTGGCTCCCCAAGGTCAACTTTTCACAGACCTTGACTCTAGGCTATGAGAGTTTAACTTCGTTGGCATAAGCATTAATCTAACACTTACTAATTGTCCAGTGTTTCTTACCCTCCTAAGGTTCGTTAATTGACATCGGTACGTGGTGAAATCTACTTTGAAACAAGTACAACCCCAACAAGCCGGAAACTTCTACACTGCATGGATTAAATTTCTCTACGTAAAAGCCAAGGGCTGTGTAAACTACAATTGTGGTGGTGTGATACAGACGATGTGAGCCAATGGAATATTATTTTCACGTATTGCCACAATTCAATTCGGCATTAGCAACAGAATACGATATATCTGTTTCAACATTCTATTTCATGTCGTTTGATGTAAACCAAAATCACACAATCAGTGATTGGTTAAGGAATATAAACTATATATATATATATGGACGGCGGTTTGATCAATGAAAACACACCTTGACTTCCGTGTGTTGCTTTCTGTTGTTACACACTGACTACTAAACAAGAGAGTGATACTATATGATTCAAACAACGAAAAATGTTATACTGTCGCACTTTAGCCTACCTAATAGGAAACAGTAGTTAGTAGTGAAGGACGAAACTACGCAAAACAGTCTATGCAAGAAAAAAATCAGCTGTTTATGACATGGAAAATTGGTTATTTCCGTTTAAAAGTATCGCGCACTGTCTACATTTTAGCTCCAGTATTTTGTTATTATAACTTTCAAGCGATTTATTATTAATATATAGACAAGGTATCACATGTGTGATGTTTAACACCGAATTACTTACCACAGGATCTGCTGGATGATATATGTTGAAAATACGAGAGCATATTTTGCGTGGCAATATCGTATCTTGGTTCTGATAGGGACCAGGTCGGATACCACGCAAAACTAAGTACACCCCCAAAGGTGAACCTAGACAGAAAAAGTTCTCAAGCTAGAGGTAAATGAAAACGAAGAAGTGAGTGTTAAATAATGGATAAGAAATTCACTTAATAGTTGCAAAAAAAACAACAACAGTGAATTAATAACGTAAAAAAAGTTGACACCGGAAGCTTTCATCATAATACAATTTCTCTGAGCATAATAATAGAAATCCTTTAATTTTAGGTAACAATAATTCTATTCCTGCACACTAAACGTATGCTTCAACAACTTATTACTAATGATGCTTTTCTCGACGTTACACATCGAAAATTTAGAATAACTAACAACAAAGCGCCTCCGCTTCTCTACATGGCTAATACAGAATATGAAGTCCTACTGGTCTTAAAACAGGACGTCGTATATATTTCAGTAAAACTTGGCGAAACTTACATTATGTGCAAAAAGTAGAGAACTTGGTTGAAACAATGAAGAACCGGGGGGACACATTGAAAGGTCAGCCGACTGATTAGAATTATCACCAACATTGGATTTGTGAGCATTATTTGACTTCAGATTTCTCCTAGTTACAAGCAATCTATTCAGCTCTTGTTCTAAATTATTGACCCTAAATTATTTTAAAATGAGAAAGAGATTTAGAATTCATAGCAGAACAATGAAAGGATTCTTCTTAAAGATACATTGCAGAACAAACAATTTAATTTCCATTTAATAAATGTGATAGACAATTTGACAGAGATATTTAACAATTTCATTTTCAAGGATAATAGACTTTGACCTCAAAAAATACTTAGAACTCAAATACTTCTCGGATAATTGAGAATAATGATTATAATAATAGATAGGACGTACTGCACTACCTATATACACATTCACTGAATACAGACTCCTTGCAGCGGCACATATTGTGAGTATACTTTCCAGGAAAATCTAACCATTCCTTAACTCTGTTAATGAATAATTTTAGTTTAATATGAAAAAACCCATTTTGGTTGCTGGATTTGCCGAAGACTGATTTTTCTTAAGGTTGACGACTTCATCGCTAAACACAATTCACTGGAAGAATCAGTGGAAATCAAGAAGCATTGAGATGCTGTCTCCGAAATTTTTGCTAATCTTGATTTGGTTACCTTGTGGAATGTTCGCACGACGTAGGAAGCTGGAGAGGTAGCTCAGGTTTCAAAACAAAAGAGAAGATATGGCGTGGAAATCTTAGGAATCTGTGGGAGCAGGTGAGGTGACTCTCTAATTTGTTAACTGGAGAGTCAACAGTCTACTCCAGTCACGCAAATGATAACCACGAGCACAATGACAGAGTGGCTACCATGATGTCACCAATAACATCGAGGGCTCTCGTGAAGTGGGGACCGTTCTCATCCAGGATGATGACAGCAAGATTCAACTCAAAATGTAGGGAAGTTACAGTTACCCAATGCTACGAACCTACACACAACTCAGAACAAAAGAAAGAAGACTCCTACAGAAAAATGCAAACAGCAATGGATAATATCCCAAATGGCAACATCAAAATCCTAATGGGCGGTATGAAAGCTAAACTAGGAGCAGACAACGCAAGAAAAGAATCCATCATGGGTCAGGAAGCTGTCAGAGAATTGAATGAGAACGGCGAACTCTTCTCAGATTCCTGTACCTTCAGTGATTTAGTGGTTGGAGGCAGTGTGTACATGCACAAAACCATACACAAAGCAACATGAGTTTCACCTGATGGACACACCAAAAGCCAGATAAAATTCATCTTAGTCCCAAGAAAATGGAGATGCAGACTACTGGGCACAAAGTCGAGAAGGGGGAGTAGATGATAGCTCAGACCACTATCTAGTACAAGGAACTCCCAAGGTCAAGCCGAGGGCCTGCGAAGCAACTGGAGACAGACCACAACTCAAGTACAACACTCGGACACTGAAAGACGAAACTACAAAGGACATCTTCAGTGTTACTATCAGAGCAAAGTTGGAAATATCATGTAGAATCACCGAGGAAACCTGCATGGAGAAACATGGAAACTCTATGAAAGTGGCGTTTAAGGAAACATATATTGCCCTTTTCGCAAGAAAGAAGAGACAAGACAAAGAACGGTTCACAACTGAAGGTGAAACAGAAGATGGACGAATCCAAAGATGGACAATGGAAGGAGAAGCTGAGTTTAATGTACAATGCAATGAATAATGAAGTGAGGAAGAGTGCTAGGCAAGACGAAAAAAATTTTTCAAAACACTGTAAACTCAAGCAGAAAAGGCCGCAGGTAAAAGAGACTTCAGATAACCAGGTTGGCATCCAAGAAAAAATCAGCACAGTGGTAACTAATATAAGATATTGAAGGAAACTGAATTACTAAGGTGGAGAAAAGAAATAAAACAATGGGTTCATTACTTCAAAGGACTCCTGGGCCGGCCAACACCTGCAAATCGCCCAGAATTTCACCACCAACAGCACGCACACAATTGTCAATGGCCACCAATCTCCCAACAAAAGCATAAATCTCGCATGCAATCAAGCTACTGAAGTCCGGGAAAATGGCAGAACCAGACAGAATTCCCCCAGCCCGAAGGACTGAAAAAAGACCCAGAGACTGCAGCAGACATGCTGATACCATTATTGCAAAACGATTGGAAGGAGGGAAAGGTGTCTACAGGCTGGAAGAAAGGCTACCTTGTCAAACTACCAAATAAGGGCAACTTAAGCCTCTGCAAGAAGTGGCATGGAATCATGCTCTTGTCCACACCACGGGAAGTAGTAAGTCCCGCCATCCTGAAGAGACTAAAGGATACACTAGATGCAGAACTCTGCTCGCCAGAACAAGCTGGATTCAGGAAAGGCGAATCATGTATTGATCAAATTGCAACTCTACGCATCATCATCATCGAACAGATCATAGAATGGCAGTCAAACCTCTACCTCAATTTCGCCGACTTTGAAAAGGCCTTCGACAGCGTTAACTGTGAAGTAATTTGGAAATTACTTTAATACCACGGAGTGTCCCAAATCTTTATCAACCTCATCCAACAGCTATATGACAATGACACATGTCAAGTGATCCCCAACGGAAAACTCAGCTAGTTCATTGAGGTGAAAAAAAGAGTAAAACAAGGCTGACTACTATCACTGACTTTAGCAGATCTGGACTTCACAAACGATTTGCCTGTCACAAAAACTCGAAGATCCACAAATGAAAACCAACGAGTTGGCAGGAGAAGAAGTGAAGACTGAACTTCAAGTGAACACAGAGAAGACAGAGATGATGAAAATACTCAAACAACAACTACAAGGACCAATCACAATCAATGTAATAAATTTGAAAGAGGTCACTTCCTTCACTAATTTAGGAAGCATCGTATCAGCTACATACAGGTGGCAAGGATGAGGTTATTAAAACCAGTGTCGGAATGGCAAGGTAGGCCTTCAATGACCTGAAGTCAGTTTTGAAATCTGCAGCACTCAGCATGAAGAACAAAATCCGGACTTTCAACACTAATGTTAAGTCAGTTCCTCTATATGGGTCCAAGGCTTGGTACATCAAAAGAATTTCCAATAATCTGAAGTCTTTCACTAATAACCACCTTCTCTCCATACTAAGGATCACATGGTCAGAAAGGATTAGCAACAAACAACCATCGGCGCGAACCAACCAGGAACCTATTGCCAGACACATATGGAGAAGGAAACGGAGGTGGGTCGAACACTCGCTGAGGAAACCGTTGAGATCGTGTGCCAAGCGCTCGAATGATATCTGAATGAAAAACGGTGAGTTGAGTGACATGGGGGAGATCGTGTGAGGAGGAGATGAAAGCTTATGGACAGTTGTGAAGCCAGTTGAAGAGTACTGCAGAGAACAGGGTGAAATGGATATATATTGTTGAAGCCCTATGTTACACTCGTAACTCAAGAGAATAATAATAAAAAATATAGTAATAATGACGAAATTTCGAAATGTAACATACCTGAAACCAACAGCTTATAGGTCATCATGTGTGCACTTAAATGACAGTAGCCAAATTAATTAGCTGAAACTAATTAGCTACTAGTTTGTTTTAGCTTAAGACAATATGAGCAGAGGTAAGAACACATGGTTAAAGGCCTAATGAGATGATAATAAGAACACAACTCGCCAACAGTTATTCGTATAGAAGCCGGGTGAAACCCAGAGTGACTGAGATAAACTGCTCCTACTATGGCGTAATGACAGTCTATGTGCGTCAAGGGAATAATACGAAATACCGAGATACTGATATTTCATTTCTATAGACTACGAATGAGGTGGCGATATAACATCTTATAAGAAAGGAAAATATCAGTATAAAACTCACAAAATCTTTGCCGCATCAAGCTGAAAACTAACACGAGTAACTTGCTTCAAATTGCCAGAAGAAGATACCACATTGTCTTCTTGATCCTGACACATCACACCGGAGTTATTCCTTGCATCCAGCTGAAGATCGGTTACAGAAACAATGAAATAAATTTAAAAATAAAACACTACAATGAAATGTGTGTGCTAAAAACATTACATTCTGTACTGATTTGATAACGTGAGAAGCTACTGAAAACGAATAATTAAAAAAGTTGACATAGCGTACAGCATATTACGATAACACGTATGAGGTGAAAAACATGAACAGCAATAAAATGATAAAATGGATAAACAGTTGACACAGAACTTTGAATAGACGCGTACCAGTTCAAGTAGCTACCCGGTGAAAAAGCATGCAACAAACTGGAAGACATGAATGTGGCGAAACAACAATAAAAAAAACGTGAATATGATAGGAGACGCAAAAATTAAGTGGAGACTGATGCTCAGAATTTCTCTAGGAACAATTTTGAATCTCCTCACTGAGAATATTCAAATACCTATTATAAGCGTTCTGATGACGACAGTTAATGAATCTACATCCCTCTAAATGACTCAGATCGATAAGCTAATGACTCCATGTATTAGTAAGATGTTTTGTTCTGACTAACAAGGCGATCGATATCTAGTCTGAAAATGGATCAATCAGAATTATTCTGCTACAAAGTACACATGGTTGCACGGACAGACAACTTATCGAATTTATCGGTAAAAATAACGCCTACTACTTTCTGTCATTATTACTTAGTAGTCGATATATTTTGTGAGTATATATATACATATATATATCTGTTATATGAATATAACTTTTCCTACTATATCGTACTGTATTCTCAGTCAAGCAGTAGAGGGGAATCATCTGACTGTTGCATAACGCTGGTGAAAAAATAGGTGATATCTGTGATTATCGTGACCATACAAGATAGCACACTTTACTACCAAGCAATAGTTCTAAGAAAAATATAAAACTGACCACCTCTAACTTCTTGCAATCTATTCCCTTGTTCAGTTAGAAATGCCTGTTGAGGAAGGCGTTGCCTCAATATGCGTAACACCTGTTTTAGCCACCTCAATCGATTAAGCTTCATAATCGCGTCAACCGATTTACCCTTCTTACCTAACACACTATACCAAATGTGAGCAACTCAACGAAGGTGACTATAAATAAAAACTTCTGGTGTCATCACACAGCATTAAAGCAGGATGAAACGTCAGTCAAGATCTGACGCCGTTACAATGGGAATTTACATGAGATATTTCGATAAAGGATAATGTCATTTGAAATAGCTTTAAAAGGATTTTATTTGCGATGGAAATCTGTGTAAAGTATTAGATTTGAAGTATTAATAAGTGAATTTATGAATATTCATGAATGATTGAACTGTGACTCATAAGTTTAAGGACTCAATTTCAACCTTTGAGTCATGAGTTTACAGTTTGCTTTACTTACCGACGTTTGGTTAACCGGGGTATTATCATCTAACTTTACACAATATGTGTGACTTACTCCTAAATGCATGCAAATCGAGGTGGATGAAGGAAGAAACTGACTTTAACTGCAATAGTTTGATTAAACTTCTGTGAGTGAAAATACTTATTCACTATAATGGTAGCAACAGTTGTGTAAAATTCAGTCCTTAGTGAAATCATAACTTTAGGTAGGGAAGTGTCAGTTGAATGCACTACAAACGTTATTATTTGTATGAATTTGAAAAGTTAACATGCATACAAACACATGAATATAGTGACAACATATGTATGGTCGATAAGAATTGCATGATACTTTGTCAATGGAATTAGGACATAGTAACATCTGTAAAAGTGAGCATTAACAGACAGAGTTGTCATGGTGACCAATAAAAAGAAACTATGATACGACGAATGACCTTACACGACGTGTTGTTAAGCCATTCATACATACATCCATACATGATTATGTTGAAATACTGGTTCACTCATAATCCTATGGTCACTGGAATGACTAAGCCGCATGTCTTACGCCGATAGCCAAGATGACTGTAAGGCTTTTATTCACAACCACAGTATGATCATTGCCCGGTGAATGAATTTTGATTTATCTCCTGAAAATGCTATCGCGAGTACTCACGACGATAATCAGTAACACGAACTGCCAAAATTCTTCTCGTACGCTCAGGGTACTTATTCGCAAAAAAAACGTAAATTGATATACATAGCTTGAGGTGATGAGGATCGATTGTTTGTAACAAATAAAACTTATAATCCATTAAAGTGTTAGTAGTGCAATACACATAGGAAGATAACTAAAAATCTAACTACTCACATTTGCCAAGGAATTCATATTGGAAGATATATCTTTTCTGTCATTTGATTTATCTAAAAGGATTTCAGCGAGTTCATCATTATCGAGAAGTTGATTCCAGCCAGTAATTAAATCATAAATCAGAACACAACCAAGGGAATGTGCAATTACAGATACTTTTCCACCACGAGATTCAAAGTTTGGATTTAATCGACGAAACATATCGTATAACCGGTTGAGTTCGGCTTTTAAGCTGGACATGATTTCTGCTCGATAAAGAGGACTTGTGTAGTACATAATATCCATGGCAGAACTATTCAAAACTGTACGCAGACTTCGAACATGTACAGGAGTAATTGACTCAACTGTACGACCATCCAACTGCAAAGAAGTTCTCCACTCAACAGGTAAAAATTCTACACGTTGATTTTCTTCATCCAGATGCGAGAAGTACCGCGCCTTTATTTTATCACATGCATTCCTAAGTCTTTATACGTCATAAACAAAAAGAAACCAATTAGGCACACATTTGAAAGAAGTTGAATTTTACATAATACTTCTGACTACAACAAAAATGCATACTAAAATGACTCTACATAACACAAAAATAGCCAAGATATGTGTTTTGACCCAGTAAATGGTTTAATGCCACAAAACCTACATAAAAAGATTTCCAAATATTTTCAACCAACGTGGTGTTAGCATGCATAAGAATGAGATGTTAATTCAAAAATTCAGGACCACAACCCAAAGGATCAAAATGCAATGACATAAAAGGAAATAAAGGAATGTCACCTATTTGTTAATGAGGACTTGAGAAGTAGTGCGACATTCTTCTTAGTGAGAATCAGTGTTGTTATTTCTTTCAAATATTTGATAGTTTAGCGTCGAACTTGTTAAAGGCAGTACACCTGAAGTAAATAACACTGTCTACTTTCCAAGACGGATATCTTTCATTGTTTACATCTTATGACAACAGAATATGTTACTGAGGTATTTTCCTGATAACTCGACCTAATACAAAGACTTGAAAGCAAGCTAATTATTAATTCTATCAATAGGAAGAAATAGGCTTAAACACACAGCCTTTTTCATCCCACAAAACGACAAAAATGAATTGTATCATTGTGAATGTATGACTATCCAAAGAGCAGAAGGTGTATATACTCAAAGGATTTTAACAGGTGAAGAAATACCCTTCATAAGTGTGAGGAAAAATAAATACAAAGCATAGTGCGAAATACGGACAGAAATCTATAAATGAGGACGTCAGACTATTAACTTAATCTAGCTGATGGTCCTAACATTTACGAACTTGAATAACGTACACCTACGGTAATTTCCTTGAAGACAACAGCGTTAAAATACTTTATTATTCTCTACACTACAGAACTTTGTTTGTTATTTGTACTGAGCCTACTGTTATGGTAGGAATTGAACCGCTGATAGAGGGACTACAGGGTAGTTGGTTCATCTTCGAACTATTCAACACTAATCAATAAACATAAAAACTTGGTCTCATCAATCCTGTTTATATTATTGAATTTTTACAGAGATGAGCAATAGTAGGCTCAAACACCACAACAAAATAAACAGATAGAAGAGGTTTCACCAAAAACAAGGAAGTTGCAGATGTAGTTTGTACTGCAAAGGAAACAAATTTCTAATTGCCTGATAGATAAACAAGTGAGTAGCGATTCATCGGTAGCAATTTACAGCAGCCTTGTTGACATATTTTACGCTCTTCATCACAGAAAATTAATTCCTCAATCTTGTTTTTTCTCCATACTTTTTGCACTGCTTATTCTTGTGGTATTTACTTCATATGCTACAATGAATTAGTTTGCTTTAAAAGCACTGTTAACTTAAATACACGACAGAGCTATTGGGTTTAACTGGTATTAGTTTATTAACAGAGTGCCGGACATTGACATCTGTTTCTCAATAAATTCATAGTCCCAACCAAAACTGATATATCAATGGCAATACAACCCCTAAAATGGATGCTAATTCTTCCAACAGGCTATAGAGAAAATATGCATAAAGGCCAGTGATAATTCAAAGTTCCCTAAATGTTATCAAAAGTGTGGGACCTGTAACTGAATAGATGAAAGGAAAGAGTATTTAAACTACAGAAGAACATGAGTGAATTCTTAATACATCTTCAATAAGTACTTATTCAAACAATAATTCACATGACTTCTTAAAAAAATGTTTTTTCCGAACTTCAAAGGAATAGTATTAGGTTTTTTTCACCTGTTTTATTTAGATATTTTAGACGGGACGTAGTGTAAGTGCAACAGTTGAACAGCTGTAAAAATGAAAAGTGGCTAGTTGAATGCCAGTAATTAACTTATGCTGAAATAATAAAGAATGTTGTGCTATGACTCACTCATTGCAATTTTTTAAAATAGGATTGATACCCATTTTTTGACCGATTCCATGGACAACGAAACAAAGGTGAGATATATCAGGGAATTTGTCTTCTGCACTTGCTGGTTCAGTAAAGCCCCGAAATAAACGCGTCCCAACTAAAATGCAGAAAAAATTACAGACATAACAATATGTTTTAGAGAGACAATATTTTTCAACAATGCAAAAACAAAAAACTTAAATGAGCGAGAGCAATACGAAGGAAATAAACAGTGAAACAACTGCATGAAATGTAAACAGCTTTAAGAAAATTCTTCCAGGATAAGAGACCATATATCCGAAACGTGTTGACGGTCTTAAGCAACCCTGTAATTTTCATTGTGCAGCAAGTTGATAGATCAAACTCAGATAGAGACGAAGAAATCAACGTGGTAGTCCAAAAACAAATGCAACAGTTCAAACTGACACATTCAAAATCAGTACACAGAAATAAGACACCTAGAAAGAGTTATACTACACACAAAAATGAATGAGATAGGGAAGAGAATAATGAAGGGAAGATTGGTGATGTTTAAAGTTTCAAAGGAGAAGAGTGAAAATATTTGCACTTCTGTGGACAACTTTGGAATAAGTAATCAAGGATCTCCAGTCACTGATTCTAAGTATACCTAGGGGATCCAGTAAAGCGACTGACACTTCATTGAAGGGTTCATATCAACCGTCAACCAATTCGACATTACTTGTTAAGAAGGACTATGGTTCAGCATTCGTACCGCACTTTGCAGCCACCTCAGTCAGCAAAGATCCAAAACTTTACCTAACATACTACGTCTAATTCCGATATTATATTGCTGCGAGGGTGGTTCAGGTTTGACTTCCGGCCCGCACAACCACCCGTTTTTGATGTGGCAATCGGGTTTGCATATCGCAATGACCACAATAAATATTGGTGCCTGGCAGAAGTAATACATAAATGATGAAAATAACTCAACTCATGGAGTCCGCACAAATTTGTGTATTGAGCTATTAGATTAGGTGGATGATTTCATTGTAGTTTTGTTCTAAGACAATACAAGCTTCGCAAAGAAACCATCTAGCTCAAAGAATACAACTACACCAAAATCATTTGGTATTTACCGTATTTCTTCATCTGAAGGTGGTTTTACAATTCCCTGATAGGGAGACCCTTGCGTCGCAACCTCTCACTGAAAATATCTGTCTTTATTCAAGTCTTCCTGAACTTTTCAGTATGTTTCTTCAGTTTTCACGATTTCAGCTAAAGCCTGTTTTTCGTATAAAAAGTAGGTTTTGCGAAGTTTATAGTATTTTTTTTAATCATATCTTGAGGTATTATACCTTATTGTAAGACTAACGTACTGAACTCCAAATCCTAGTAATACTCTTCCTGGTAAATATGAACATCACCTATTGTGTACATCTGATTGCATCTTACTGTTGTACAATACGGTTATAAGATTCACTTACCCTTTTGCATCCCCAGTTTTTGTCTAATATACAAACTTGTCGACTCATAATACAAGTATAACTCGTCTTCCCCATACCAATCAATATGGCAGTCAGTGAAGCGAATCGTTTGGTAAGCTGAGGTATTTGAAGAAAAAAAATGAAATAGGACCATCACAATCTTTACTATAAACAAGAATAAAATTGACTAAATAACCCCATTAAAAAGATTCCCTCAGTGTTAGTTATCTAATTACTAGTTGATTAAATATTAACAACTTAAAAGTGATGTGTATTATTATTTGGAATACTTGAACTACGGTGATCCCGAAATAAAATTACCCTTCAACGTTTCTCCACGTTGTTTTGTGAAGGGAAAAAAATAGTGATATTGAATCATTTATGCAGGAATACTTCGACAAATAGTCTACAGTTAAATACAATTATCAAGTTTGTGAAATAAACAGAAATTAGAGACAAATAAATGAAACACAATTTGGCATTAATGTGTATGTATATGTACTAAATTGGAAACACCTATTTTTTGAAGATTCGTCATAGATTGTAATACATTTTCATGACGCCAGAAACTTCAGTTAATTTTTTGGTCAATAAATCAGGTTTAGGCATCCTGTGCATAAACTAGACCTATGTTAGATGGAGTAAGAAATCTCAAAACTATTAGGAAAATAATTCTCTCAGATGAAACTTAATATCTAGTCAGTAATTAGCATGTTATGCTGTATATAACTCTTTACACACCAACTTCAAGTAATTTTTTCTTCGAGTTATATGCACCGATAAAAAAACTCAGAGTTTGTAAGCATTTGTGGTGATAAGTGATATTTGAACACTCATTTAAGAAAATACGTTGACTTTGTCAGTGTGCTTCACAGAGTAATTACCTCGAAAATGTCACTACCATTTCTTATTTAATCTACTCCGTAGTCATTCTATTTGCAACTGAGTACGTAAACCATATGGATGGTTTCTATGATCAAGCTTGAAATAGTTTAAACTAGTGGCTTTCGAGAAAGAGGAAATTATCAATGGATGGTCTTATTTTATAATGTAGGCTAATAACCTAACTGGGATCACAATGAATATTTTTGCTAACATCGATGGTTGTGGGATATAGCTGACCAACTGCAGTGAGCAAGGAGTATAAAACTACCTAATAATCAAAACGATCATTTCATTAATGGATAGATATTCATCCTCCGGACATATTCTATGATTCCACAGTTAACCAGCCTAAAATGTGGAGTTGTAGTTTACTTGTTTTAAAACAGAATTATTGCACCAGGTGTCATCCATTATCCGATAAAATTCGAAATATCCAGTAAATAATACTGCAAACTCAAGTTCTAACAACACACTAGTCTTTATATATATATATATATTCAAGCTGCCTAAAAAAACGTTCTGAGTTTCATGCATTCATAACACACTGTTTACTGTACGTTGGCAGCTTTGTTAGTATCTAATAATCTTTTCTGACTTTCTAGTATCCCTAAGAGCAATCATTCTATATCTTGTTGGCTGATTACGATACATGTCTGACCACCACATTTATGTTGTGTTTACTGATGAAGAAAAATATTGCGAAGGAATACTTTATGAATTTTTGCAATTTATCTGCAAAATGTTTTGACTACCTTTGAGTTAACTGTATATTCTTGTCAATTACTGCGAAATAAGAGTTATTTTATTGCTCATTTTGATCACAACAGAAATCAAGGGTTCTATTTCATTGTGAAATCCCTGATAAGATACCTCCTGGACTGAAAACCAGGTACAGAGTAGCAGAGCAGTTGGATGAAGTAGCATCAAGACAAAAAGTTACCGTTTTGTGATACAAAATCAATCTAAGTTTAGATTATGGTGCTAAAATCCTCAATGGGATTTATAAAAGGAAGCAAAACCAAGAAAAGTAACACTAATGAAAGCAAGAAATATATAAGAAACAATATGTTAGTGCCAGAGTTAGAACTACTGGTAATGTATTCTACAATTTATTTTTATTCGACACAAGAAGTCTGTGATACCACAGTCACTAACACGAAGACTTGGGCAGATCACATAAATTACTACTAAGCATTCAACTGAAAGTTTAGTTGATAAAAGGATGACATACAGAATTAGACTTTCACTGTGAGCAACAAACTTTTTTGAGTTCAAACTCTGTTTATCGCTTTCGTTTTTGTTGTTTTCCAGTTTAAGCAGAGTGGACTCAATAGGAGTGAGTTATTTGAGTAATTGCTTTCCTACCTTACATGAGAATAGAAATCAACTGACGAAACACAGTAAAAGTGATAAAAGTTGCAAAGATTTTGAGTCAAAAAATTGACGACAGAATTCCTTTGTACAAACTCACAACTTACGGACTCTCTTTTTTAAAGCAGTGGGGGCAGACAAATTATCATCCAAGTCGCTTCCATTTACACTCGGAAAATTTTCACAGAAAGAGGACTCAGGTGTTTGAGTGAGTGTTTCACTAACTGATTCTATAGTATCTGGAGAGTGTAGAACTGGGGCATTCAATGCAGAGTGGAGAAGTGAATCACTTTGAGATTTTGCGAACACGTCATTTTTTGAGTACATGGATTTTCTAGGGCTCTGGTACGTTTTTAAGTGCCATGTGTTGTATTCAGCCTCCAAACGTTCAGCCATTGACTCATCATCAAAAGGTTCAAGAGTACCACTATAACCTTCACGAAACCAAGTGCCCCGCAGGATGGATGTGGGACATTTGTCATCTGTAAACAAAATATATAAAAATTTAAATACAACCACACTTTAAAGAAAATCAAGAAATAGTGCAGTACTGAATACGATTTCGAAAACCCCTGAGAAGAACAATATGCGCTAGGCCTGATAGTATTTCAGCCAACACTTCCTGCTGAGGAGGGTTGTCACTCAGTTGCGTGCCAAATAGATATCACGGTCGGTGAAGACCCACTACACCACTGACTGATTCACCTGACAACAAACTACATCTGATCTAAGTAACATTCACCATGCAACTATGAATACAATCAGTTATGGTATCAGGATGTCAGAGATTGTAAAATTGATTCATCAGTCGTAAAGAATGACACTCAATACTTCTGCACTGTACAATCATTTTTTAAGAAGTAACCGGATGCAAGATAACTTTTCAAAAGGATGAAGTTTAATAAGTGTTAAACGAACCACTTGTGATGATTTCATCAGCAACAGGTTCACTGGGGCTAACGTGTACCTATTATTGCTAGGATAATGACGTTCGATGTGGCGAAATGTTCTGTTTTATTGTCTGCTTTAATTTCTAAGTTAGACTACTGATGAAGAGTTGATCAAATATACCAAAAATCGGAGACATGTTTTCACTTTGAAGTCAGGTTCAGGACTTCGTGTCGATTGCCTTCAACAACCCAAATTTCACCACATTGGGATTGTATAGCTTGGATACCACGCATAAAAAAATTGACTGATAGAACCAGGCCAACATTAAGAAGTGAATAAAATAACACTATTACTCATTAACTAACCAATGTGGAACTGTATTGTCTGCATCTACGCATGCCATTTAATCTTCAAGAATAAAATCATTGTGAAAACAAATGTAAACTTATATGCACTGAAAGAAAAAAATTATGACGTGCGACAGCTTTAAGCGGAGATATTTAATTACTCTGACGTTCTGAGGTATGTCTATGGAAGTGTGTGGATGGTTTTTACTTCATGCCTGCTGACTGAATGAGCTTCTGCATACGATTTTGCACAGTAGTGCAGCAGTTCAACTTGTCATACTCCATATAGAACACAGAGGTAAACCAAAAAAGGGAAGGAAAAATAGATTCAGAAGGACTAAAATAAACAGAAATGTGAGGAAAGAATAGTAACGTGGAAAAAACATGACAACTTAGTGGGTGTGAGATTACAAAGAGTGAAAGAAGCTGCGCTACTGAGAATCATTTTGAGCCATATCACCAACAATCCCGAGAACCACTGAGAACACCTACATGGCTCAAACCAACTGTCAAAGTTTACATGGACTGATCCCTGGTTTTGGTTTGACCACCCTTAATCCTTTCCCAACTTTATCCAATGCCGGCTAACACTGCTTATCGATGAAGTCGATGGTTTGGCTTGGGCAACATGTGTCCTAGCCATATCAATTGATTCACCTTTACAACCTCACCTTACACGCTACGCTTAACCTCAATATTCCCACATTATACCACTCAACACCGGAGATAGAGTGCAAACATCTGTGGTCAAAGACAAATAGCATTTTCATATCTTCCAATCCCAATGGCCGTGTCGCACAGACAAAAAGGAGGGCAGAGTGTGCGTCCTTTCTTCGACTGTCGGATATCACATCTACGCCAAATATAAATGACACAAGATCCTTTTGTATCCATGCTGAGATGTGGTCTGCACCAATTCACTTTATCCTTAAGCTAGGAGTCAGTGAGGATTTTTAAAGACTGATTCACTAACTTTAAGATCAGCAAAGTAGTTCAAGTCTAGTTAAGTTGAAATTACACCATGATACGATATGAATCAAACTTGTTTAAGATTGAGCCGGATAAAAAATCGGTTTTTTACTTCAACCCAATTCCCCTGCTGATCAAGCTTCTTTTATGTGATGCTGAGTATGGCAGTCGCTACTTACCGTCAACGGCTATAAAAATACCCAAGGCAGGTTAGAACAATCTCCCCCATATACAGTTCAAAGGAAACTGCAATCAGACTACATAATTACTTCACTAGCCAAGCCTGAGTAAAACTACCAAATTAGATTAGATATGAATATTCGATTGTGATAGTTTAACGAAGTAACTAGCAAAGCTACTTATACGAACAGCTTAATGAACAGTGTTCGTAAAATAACTTACCGGACCAGTAAACAGGAACACAACGTCGTTCAACTACATTCGCTTCATATAATCCACCCCTAACTGATACTTTGGGTTTTGTACAGTCCTGTTTTGGTTCACATGATGTGGGTGTACATGAAGCCAAATTGTGACAAGATTTACAAGAAGCCTGGTGACTTCGATAGGTAAGCTCCAAATTTATGGAATCAGAGCCATTGAATGATACCCATCTCTTGTTGTTTCCCTCACGGTAGAACCACCGCACCTGTGGAAGGATGTAACCGTATATAAAAAACTACCTTCTCAACTTCAAGTTCAAATTTGCGGTCCATGTTCACCTCTGCAGAATTAGATAGTGGCGAAGACTCATATTCGGAGCCCTCCATAGAATCGTCAGTCATCCTGTAGTATGCGTTATCAGCTAAAACGACTTTCTCTGCAGCAGTTATGATACCTCAGAAACGTATTTCGAAAAGAAATTTGAAGTGATAGTGCAAAATCATTGATAAATCTTAGTGCAATGAAATCAGGGCTTTCAAACCCGTCCGTCGGAAAACCCACTGATATATAAATGTAGCATGATATGATGGTTTAATGCGTTCAAGGTACTATAATTTTACTCCCGGCTTTTTACTCTTGAGATACAATGCAGTGACAAAACTACCCCACCACTGAAAGTCATAACATCTATCATAAGAATGATGAAATCCCGCGTATAATCCGAAGTCCAATATAATTAGAGTGAGCTGTAGTAAACAAATTAATATACTAACACTGACATTTTGACGATGAGAAACTGCTATAAGTTTTCGGAGAATTCGAGTGCAATTTTTACTTTTATTAGCCCTCTGTAACTCTTCAGACGAGTGAGTACATACTGGATTTTTTGTCAAACTGCCTAATATGGGTTCTCTAGAGGAAATGGAAAGCTTCGGAATTAGTGGAAACCTATGCATTCGTGTCAAATAAATATTTGTTGGTGATTATTATAAAGTGCGAATGAACTCTTAACAATCTTCCTAGCGTGTGGTGGAATGCTGTAGTTAAAACTCAAATTTTCAGTACCAATCTCATGCAAGTAAGTTCACGAACCTTTGCTACGAAATAACCCATATCTTTGTTCTTTTCAATATGCGGATATTTTGATTGCATTATAACATAAATCATTATTTTTCTGTGTTAAGTTACGAGTGTATGTTAGTATAGCTCCTGATTATATATGTACCAGAATTCGGTAAGTCTACTTGAATGTTATGTTTCAAAAACGTTCGCATTACCTTGCAAGCTTGTTGAGAGAATACTCCAGCTCTCCCAGTTTCCGATGGTTCTATAAACCGATAACCTGAAAATTTTGATAGAGTTCGATGTGTGGCATATATACACAGCAAAAAGCTGCCAATATCCAGCTGATTTAGTTAAAGGAATGGGAAGTGCGGATATTGCGGTAGGTAATTCCCCAGAACAATTAGCCACAGCATTAATCAGTAAACAGTGGATGCTGACCTCCGCTGTTTAAGTCGATTTTTATCCCCAAAGGCTTACGGTCAGGCATCCAATCCATTTGGCACTCCGTCGTGTAACGTTTGTTCGTGCACGATTTTTGCTAGCCAAGCAATCATCTCGCACTCCGATTTGGTCCCGAAATATATTTCGTAATTTGGCTGTTGTTTTGCCTTTGATCTACGTGGAACGAATACCATAGAATCTGTTGGTATTGGATCTTGAGCTATTATACTTCGTATAATCCCTTAACGTCAACACCCTCAGCCTCTAAACTGGTGACTCCCATCGCGAACTTCATCTCTGGTAAACATACAGACAAATCGGGAAAGTCCATTCCATTTTGTATTTTTCTTGTACTGTTTTTAAAGTATGTGTTTCTCCATGGGTTACCATACACCTTAGGCCATCCATATTCAACCATCTAACAGCACTATTCAGCTCGTGCCATTTCGGCCAGACAATGTGAAGGCATGGTTTCAGACAACCGAGTCTGATTTTAGTGAATATGGGGTCGCCGACCAGCGTTCAACGTTCCTTGCAGTTATCCACGCTCTACTGCTGGAACTAGGCAAGTGCGCAGACATACCTCACAAAGGAGCATCCCTGTCCTTCAGTCCAGATCCACACTGACCAGAAAATGCCGTATCATCATTGCATATCAAAGTTTTAGAACCCTTCAAGTAATAAGTAGAGCGTTTTTTAAAGTCACTAATGAAATTTTCACCACTATGAATACATCTATAGTGGAGCCAACGAAGTTTAATTTAACGTTTAATTTGAAATGAACAGTTGAATAACATTTTATCAAAACGGTTTGAAATATAACTAGGCATGTGAATCCTCGTTAATTTGATTTATCGTCTGACGAGAGAGTAGTTGAATCTCTCCTGCTTGTCATACTCTAAGTAAAAACAAGACGTGATCATTATGTGAAGGATTTGAGAAGTGACTATGAAACTGATCTACTTTTCCTTTTCCTTCCCATTAGGCTGAAAAAATAAGTGAATACAGAAGGACGATACAAAGAATGAAGGAAGAACGACAGCCTTGTGAAATTCTTATTCTCCTACCCAGGCTTCGTCACAAGAACGCTGAACCAACTTTGGAAAGAAGTAAGGTCTCTTTCTTTCGTCGACTCACAAGAGAATGAAATAAACAATCATGGCTGCCTAACAAGGAGGGACTGCCACATGTCTAGAAGAGAAAAGGATGCGAAAGTGCCTGACGATTGCTGATATCTATCTGAATATATGCGTGACTTGCATATCATTATTGTGACATTTGTCCATCTTCTTTAGGCTTCATCCCGATTGTCAAGCTTCACTTTTGACTAAACGTAGTCATCATGCTACTTTCCAAAATTTGTTTTGTTGGGCACCAGGCTGTGAAATCGGGTGACTATTTGCACTTTCCCTATCGCCTCCATCCTGATAAACAGAAATTCGATCCCATATCATCACAAATGCCCCTGCTGATCCTCAAATATATGACTGGGGAGTTTAAGCTACGTAGTATTCACTCTGTACCACGAAAATATTTGATGGTTGTAACTGCTCAAAAATATTTTGTTCACGAAAGTTTTGTAACCTGCATGGCAGAACCCAGTAACTTGTTTTGTTTGAACAGTTCTAGTGCTCATATCAAAATACTTGGTGTTTGAACGCTACAGTATGCCGTGAGCTCTCTGTTTCTACTCAGGAATCTGTATCTGTTGGTGACAAAGGAGTTTCGTTTGTGAATTCACCACATAAGGCTACAGGTATTCAATGGCTTGATGATGCAAACGAAAGCAGAAAAAGAGGGAATCTAGCTAGGAGCGTAAGTGCTCCTTTGTCCCGTCAGTTAGACTATCTTTTGTACCCAACAGTAAAGCAAGAAATTAAACGCCGACCCACTGATGTCTAAAATCACTCCACACTCTTCTGTAAGTAAATTGACAGCCAGTGGTGTGTTCTTTTCGTAGCACTAGGATTGACCTGGAGCCAAAATTAATAGGACAAACCCAATTAAATTTGCTGCAACTTTTATGTGTACATATATGTTCATTTATCAGGAATCCTCTCATGCAACAATGTGTCTGGTGACCTAATGGAAATTATTTGCCATGAAAGCTTCTAACTTGCAACATGCTCTATAATTGAGACAGACAGAAGTAATTCAAGCTACAACCACGTTGATGAATGAATGAATGATTTCCCATGTGAGAAGCAAGCGCATATGTCGTTGATATATAATGTAAATATGAGGGGTTTTATGACACTGCCGTGAATTACACAAGAAGTGATTGGGCTAGGTTTGGAAGTCACAGACCCAAGTCCAACTATTCGGGACCTGCTGTTAAGGAATGAATTTAACCATCCTAATATTGGATCACGTATTCCTAAGGAGTTCAGCTTATATATCAGAAGCAAATGTTCGACGGGGTTAAACGACCTAGAAATGTTAAAGTATATGACAAGTGCTAGTTGTCGTCTGACACGGCTACTGGATTTAGGAATCCATGTTTTTTCGGACTTGCAGTATTGCAGCTAAGCATACGTTTGAGTTTGTGGTTGTCACAAATGTGAGTCGCTTTATTCTGTAGCAGAGCAATATGCAATTTGACAACTCTATGTTAAAACATGAGTTTGGAATTTAATCTCAAAAAAATGATGATTGTTTACATCCAAGTAACAAGTACTGCTTCTACCTGTTAATCATTTTTATTGCTGTTTTGGGTTCCGAGTGGAACATGGGGCTTCAACAATATCTGCACTTCGATCTGTCTTCTACTGTCCTTTGGAGCTGGTCCGAGGATTGTCCATAATCCATGCTCTCCTTCTCGCACGGCCCCTCCGTTTCACCTTCCACTCAGGCTTAATCGGTTACACCACGTAATGCCTGCAACTTTGCCATTACTTCTAATATCTATGATTCTGTTTAAATATTTGTCAAGATGCGATTCCCTGGGCCCTACATATATTCGTGAGACATTCTAATTGTCAAGATATCCTAGATTCTGTGATCTTCGAATTCACTTCAAACCAAACTATCACTTTATTCCTCACTAGTGCTTCAGGTGAAGGAGTTGAGTCTTTGTAATAAGATACCACCTAAGTAGGTGATCTAGAAATTAATTTTCGATAAATTTGTCCATGACTTGTAAGATAACTGGGTTTTTAATTTGAGGCAAACTATTGCAAACGTTTCCCTTACCACAACACTTACAGTGTGTAATGCCACATTAAGTGGCTCTGGCTTTGGTCGCGTTCTATATTACCTCTGGGAGTGTCCCAGATTGTTGAAGACAATAGGCTGGTTGACCCTATGCAAGAGATATACGCTCATTACGAATTTCAGCAAGAATGACACATCTCCTAATTTGGGTCCATTGAGGGCAGATGAGATGCAGCGTTACAGATAAGACATCAAAATAATGCTTCAGGCGGTAGAATTTAAGAAGGAACGTAGTTTGTTAATCACATCTGGCAGTTCAGAGTCAGAAGAATCTAACTCAACTTTGAACCGAATTCATTAAACGGCTCCATTTTTGCAGGCGTTCGGATCCCAAACTCGTCTTGGCCCAGGGAGAGGAATCTACATTTGAAACATTGCGTGACGAAGTTGGTTCTAAGACACTACGATGACATAGAAGGGCATGTAAATGCTACATAGGTAGTGGCAACTTTTAGGGAGAGGTTTAGTTTATTGTGTGACCAAATTAATTGGATATTGCACGCTCTGTATGTGAGGAAACGTATATCAAGAGTTCCAGGTGATGGCATCCATGATGAAAGCAGATGTTAACCATTTTGGGCCGGTGATGGTTGTACTATGTAACGGATCTGAAAGAGATTTGGTTGCACTTTCACCTGTATAAAACTTTTAGCCATACATCTGGAGGTAATGCACAGCCTATCCATGGACTCTCATTAAGCTGTACCGATGCTGTTATTGTTAGGACAGACTATCAGTAGTTGATATTCAGTGATAATAGAATCAATTTAATGTGAATGAAAATGAATTAGACTGGCTCTTAAGGAGTGGAAATAAGAAAGAATATATAGCATCTTTGGGAGTAGGAATATACACTGGCATTTCAAACAACAAACTGCTACCTGGCGAGCGGAAATTGCCCAGATCTACAGTTCCGGCTAGTGAAGACTCAATATCCTTGAAATATCCACTGTCACCATATCACGACGCTGTTTAACACCCTATACAAGCAGTATCCATGATATAAAATGGTTTACAAATGGCTGTCAACATGTTAATCAACTTACTCATATTGAACAACCATGCAGCGACAAATGGCAGTT